TCAAGAAATTGACTTGGATTGTGCCGAATTCACCTTTGGTTCGCTCGGCGATGACATTTTGTGCCGGTAAATTGATCAAATGAATGAAATAGTATTCAGTACAATTATTGCCGAGCGAGCCGAAGGCGAGTTCGGCACAATCCGGCCTGCCTTCTTGATTTTTTCGCTTTACTTCAAAGAAATTGGGCTCGATTATGCCGAACTCGCCTTCGGCTGGCAGGGAAATGAAATTTTTTGGCTTAATATTGATCGAATCGACTAAGTAGGCTTCAGTACAATCATTTCCGAGCGAACCGAAGGTGAATTAGGCACAATCCGAACCACTTTCGTGCTTTTATCGCTTTATTTTCAAGAAATTGACTTGAATTGTACCTTTGGTTCGCTCGGCAATGTCATTTTGTGCCGGTAAATTGATCAAATGAATGAAATAGTATTCAGTACAATTATTGCCGACCGAGCCGAAGGCGAGTTCGGCACAATCCGGCCTGCCTTCTTGATTTTTTCGCTTTACTTCAAAGAAATTGGACTGGATTATGCCGAACTCGCCTTCGGCTGGCAGGGAAATGAAATTTTTTGGCTTAATATTGATCGAATCGACTAAGTAGGCTTCAGTACAATCATTTCCGAGCGAACCGAAGGTGAATTAGGCACAATCCGAACCAATTTCGTGCTTTTATCGCTTTATTTTCAAGAAATTGGCTTGGATTGTGCCGAACTCACCTTTGGTTCGCTCGACGATGACATTTTGTGCCGGTAAATTGATCAAATGAATGAAATAGTATTCAGTACAATTATTGCCGAACAATCAGGCCTGCCTTCCTAATTTTTTCGCTTTACTTCGAAGAAATTGGGCTGCATTGTGCCAAAATCGCCTTCGGCTGGCCCGGCAATGACATTTTTTTGGCGTAAAAATGATAAAATCAGTTAAACCTTAAACAGGCTCGTCTACGCGCCGGCCCGTGTGGCGCAGTTCAATTAAAGCTGGACTGCGGTACTAAAGATCCCTGGTTCGAATCCGGGTTCTGTCATGGATATTTGTAAATGTATAGCGGGTTGGGTTGGTACAGCAACCTTGGCTGAAACCCCGCCCACTCAAAAATAAAGGTAAAATAAAATAAAATAAAAAATGATTAAAATAAATGTAATTATTGCCGAGCGAGCCGAAGCTCAGTTCGGCCATTGTATATAACCCTCGGCACAATCCGAGCTACTTTCGTTCTTTTCATTCATTGCTTAGAAGACATTTCCTCGGTTGTGCCGAACTGGTCTTGAATGTTGACGATGACGCATAATGTGCATGAGCCTATGACGCGGTCCAGGGTATCATATTTCACAAGCATTTCGAACTAGTGGTAATGTGGGCATAATCTCACCCCTCAGAAGAGGTGCGTAGTCCCTCGTTCGGAACATGTCAAACTACAGATACATTTCATTTTGAACCACAAATTGTCACATATTCCTATGTACAGTAATTGCCGTTCCGTATGATCATCTTTTTAATACAACAAGTATTGGTAGTATACATACAGCCTGTACATAAGAAAATGACGTCAATCCATTGTGAGTTAATGAGTGTATGTTCAGAAATTAACATCATATTCGCCCCCTTCCCTTTTAATTTTTATTCAGGGTGTAACGGTGACCACAGCAACTACAGTTTCTTAGTGAAGCGTTTGCTTACGCGTCTTGATTATTATGTAATCTATGTAAAAATCATTTGAACGAATAAACAAATATATCTATGTCATACTAGACCAAGGCTAGGAAAGGTGAAAAATTGCTTACGTCCACAGTTTAAATTTTTGGTTCAGATTCCTCAGAACTGGTGTCTTTCTGTTTAACAATAGAGAGTAATAACCCATTTTGGATTCGTTTTCTAGGAAATTCATATTTCGGTACAATTCCATTGATTTTAGTTAACCTACGTCCGCGTTCATTTATAATCAAGGCTTGTTTGCATAATGTTCTGTTGTTAATATTCATAAATTCAAAACCGGGTTTATTATAGGTGCATTGCAAAGAAGAAACCTTTTGCACGCTTCCTTTTTGAAACGACATTTTATTTACCTACCCTCAGTATCGTAATCACTGGACATTTTATTTTCCAGTTATTTTTTCGACAAAATTTATCGCTTTCTTCTTGATAAGAACTCGGAAGTTACTTTATGAGTTGTTATCCAACTGAATGTCATTGAAATTGACAATAAAAATAGTTGTTTTCGGACATTTTTGCGCGCCATTGTTTATTTTAAGAACTTCAAATTGTTTATTCGATCTACTACGAACAAATTCTGTGAGGCTGCTTTTGGGAGGGCTTGGCTGTAGTAACATGCTACGTACAAAATTAGCATTTTTATCGGTTATTCGCCCATTAGCTTTAATGGCGTGGGACAGTGTTTTGCAAATGTGGTAACGAGGAAGGAGGTGTGTTTATTGACGTACCTACACACATCTGAGAAAAAATTCAAAAGTTGGAATTTTGCAGAGCTCTTCCCTTGGGAACCATAGAAATACGAATATGTCTGCTTTAATTAGTGATAAAAGCATGCAATGATGATTGTGATGATTGGATTGCGAAATGCACCAGAAATCAGTTAACGCAACATAACGTCAAACTAATAGCGGGGGGAGGTGTTTTGATTTTTAAGGTTTCTTTATAGATTTTTGAGGGAAATATATATATATATATATATATATATATATATATATTGCCTTTACAAAACTGGTATATACTTCAAGTTCTCGTCGCCAAACAAACCAACGAACCCAACTTTCACTTAATTCTCAATTTGCGTAGATAGGAAAAGAGAAATAATTTTGTTTTACGTAATGACCTCGTTTAGTACGCCTAGGAGCTTCCGGTACATGAACTGTCAACACGTCCTCAAAGGTCGGTGTAAATTCGCAAATCGGAGGCACCACGTAACAGCTCGATTAAATAAATTGCGTAATTTTTGATAAAAAGTGCAATGTGGCCAATAATGCGGTCACGATGGCTAATTTAAAGGGTTTATCGCTCCGAATGATATCATTTCATAGATGAATCAATTATTGGGGACCAATGTCAGTATTAATTGAATGTGGTAACGAAGCTATAAATAAAGCAACTGAATTTGAATAAAACGTCACTTGTTTTGTACATTTTTGGTTTATTTTAAATATGCTAAATTGTTTACTCAAACTGCGCATAGAGGCTTGATGAAAGGACTGGGAATTAAGAGTTTCTATGCAGAAACTTTTATTTTTTCATAAAATCTATGTACTAACTGTGTTTGCAGAAGATAAAAAAAGTTGCTTGTCCTCCTTAAAAAAGGTGTTAATGAGTAGGATGTGGTGACCTAGGGATCATTGAATATGCAAATAGTCCCGACTCCAATCGGGAAAAGACTTTTCGAAGTGTTTGGCGACACTGCAGGCGTGCCCTGACGAGTTGGTCAGGTCAGGGAATCCAAATTGCTATAGCACACACCCTCGGATCTTCAGCTTTGAACTTGAGCATTGCGAAATTATATTATTAAGACGCAATAAAAAGCATGTTGGAAAAACAGGCGGCAAAAAAAACGCTATAAATACTCGATTATATGTTAGTTAAGATAGCGGCAAAAAAATATAATATAGTGAGGAAAAAGTGGTGGGGTTTTTGATTACCAAGTCAAAGCACCGGGCTATTTATAGTAGCTGCAGACGGTTACTGCAAACACTTCCACAGTAACTCGCTATACTAGTGCAAGGTCGAATTTTATTAGACGTGTATTTCTTTTTTACTTTAAAAAAAGTGTGTGACTTCTTAGGTTTTCTTCAAAAATGTAAGAGCAATGTGATTTTGTGTTTGGCTTGATCTAAAAGGTGTGTATTTTGTAGATCCAGGTGACATTATGGAATCGTGGTACATCTACAATCCGTTGTTGGGCGTGACCAACATTCGAAAGATCGAAATTTCTGCCGATGAGTGCATCGAGAATGTCCTGCAGGAGATCGAAGGGAGGATTTCGAAGGGATGTTCCGGGTCCATCGAAGAAATTGAAAATTTAATCCTGCAATCGCAGAGTGAGAGCGACAATCATCCCCAAACCTTTGGCCCGTTTGGCAAAATTAAGCAGTTGTACTTGATATGCAACTGGGAGACTTTGGGGGAAGGTTTGCTTGATGGTTTTGATGATTTGGAAGGTCTCTACGTGCGTAAAAATTCTTCTTTGAGAAGCATCGAGCGTGGATTCTTTAGGAACAAGAGCAATTTGAAGAAGGTGGCCATTAACAATTGCAAACTGGAACTGGAACCGGGTATGTTGAAAGGCATGCCTAATTTAAAGGAACTGGATTTGAGCAGAAACCAAATTGAAGAATTGCCAGTCGGTTTACTCACCGACGTTCCCGACATTGAAACGCTGACATTAGCGCATAACGACATCAGAAGTCTATCTACGAAGGTGTTTTACGGACTTCCACTCTTGGTAAATCTCGATCTGAGCTTTAATCGTCTCCAAGGTTGGAACGACGAAGCCTTCTCCTACGTCAACATGCTTCTCCATCTCAACATCAGCAACAACGCGATAAAGGAGCTCACGCCGGCCTCTTTCAAGAGACTAAACTCTCTCGTCACCCTCAACCTGGACGGCAACTACCTCGAGAGTTTAGAAAAGGACAGCTTCATCGGTTTACCACGCTTGGACCACCTCAGCGTCAACAACAACAAGCTCCAAGAAATCGACACCTACACCTTTGATGCCATTCGCAAACTCAAGGTTTTGCTATTGGAAAACAACGAAATTTCCATCTTCGGCCCCGAAGTCTTCCACAATTTGGGCAAGGTCGAGTTTTTCACCTGCAATCGCAACAGCACCCCCAAACTCGAACTCGATACCTTCAGAGGCTTCTCGGGGGTAACCACTTTACACCTGACTAACATGAACATTGAAACCTTGGACGAAGATTGGTGTTCCGGTTTGTATTCCGTCACCGATCTCGACTTGAGCCAAAACAGACTCACTCACCTCCCGTCGTACGCATTCCGCTGCGCCAAAGCGCTGACCAAGCTGAACCTGCGCGACAACCTCATCGAAACCGTCGACACGCGCACGTTCGACACCGTCTTCAACTTGCAGCACCTGGACCTATCCAACAACAAACTGCGACAAGTCCCCAGCAACAGCTACGACAACTTGTGCAGCGTCCTAACCTTAAACTTGGCCCACAATCTCATCGTCTCCCTAAATCCACTCTCCTTAATCGCCTTTCGAGGACTCAACAAGTTGGACCTCTCCTACAACCAAATCGAGATCATCGAACCCGACGCCTTCCTCGCGAACCACAAACTCGTAAGTCTCAGCGTCAGCTTCGGTTGCGTCAAGGCGGCGACCTCCTGGATCGCGTCCACCAACTTAGTCGACGGGACGAAGAAACCGGGAAGCCCGATACATTTACCGGAACAGTTGAGAAACCTGGCGAGGCTCGACTTCGACAGCTGCGGAATGACGCACGTCGACATCGACTGCAACCAGAACGCGTCGAGCGTCGTGAAACTCGTCGACGATTCGAAGACTGACGCCTGGACGACGAAGGCCGATGATGATATCGCACAAGTCAAACAGTCAATTACAAATTTTATTCATTAAGTATTCTTTTGCTATAAGGTCTTTAATAAAGTATTATTCTACAACCAGAGGTAGATATTTATTTAACCTTCATGCATTGGGTTTAATATAAACATTTGTTCTTTCATGACGTGCTTACCAGTCCGAAAGGAGGAATATGATGTGGGGAGCGGTTTTAAAATACTACCTTCCTGGAGATGAGCCCCACGGAGCGGTCATAAGATACAAACAGTAAAGATACGAATTTCGATTTGGAGCTCTAAAAAATCAAATCCACCGACTTCTTCCGCTCTTCGCTCTTTGTCCTCCCAAGCTTCCTCCGCAATTTGGTTTTCCTCTGACATCGTTGCACTCCTAGTCGACCACCACTTTCACAACTTGACCTTTCAAGGTCTGGATTGTGATTGTACTGAAGCCTATTTATTCGATTCGATAAATGTTACGCCAACAATAAGTTTCTAAGGCGAGTTCGGCACCATCCTGGCCAATCTCTTCTAAGTCAAGCGAGAAGGCACGAGAGTGGGGGTCTCCATCCCCCGATTTAGGTATTCTTAGCGTTTCGTTTACGCGTTCTTCAGATTTGTCTGAAAATTCCTTAACCCATGATTCGTTTCCTTCACGCCCATATCGCATCTCCCTCAATTTTGGCGTTTTTTCACGTCTATCTCGGGCCTTTTGCAGCATCTACCAGGATGGGATCGTCGTAAATTCGTCGTTACGTATTCCTCTCGATCTTCTTTTATATTTCTCTTACCCCTCTTCTTTGTCATCATCAACATTTATTTAGTATTAGGCTCCATTGTCTTCTTAATTTTACTTGGTTGTTTCTGCTTCTTTCTTTTCACCTTTTCATGGCTTCTCAAACCCTTGAGACTGCTTTCCTTCATTTTCTTGAATTTCGAACTGTTTGAAATTATGGATTCTACAGGCCACATTCTATAAGAAAATTTTTTTCCAGGTCGATCTGAGACAATTTTTTTTTCGGGGCTCAAAAAAAGGCAGTGTATAACCTTCCTTTTTTACCAAAAATCGACTACACCAAAATTTCTCGGAAAAACACTTTTTTTATTAATTTGGGTGCGTATAATCCAAATCAATTCGTACTTTTTCGGTCAGACTTCTCAATCAAAAGTTATAGACTAGAAACCAATTTCGAAAGAAAATTCAAAGGGCTGTAACTTTTGAACTAGTAGCCCAATCTTGGAACTGTTTGAAATTATGGATTCTACAGGCCACATTCTATAAGAAAATTTTTTTTCCGGGTCGATCTGAGACAATTTTTTTTTCGGGCTCAAAAAAAGGCAGTGTATAACCTTCCTTTTTTACCAAAAATCGACTGCACCAAAATTTCTCGGGAAAACACTTTTTCTTATTAATTTTGGTGCGTAGAATCCAAAACAATTCGTACTTTTTCGATCAGACTTCTCAATCAAAAGTTATAGACTAGAAACCATTTTCGAAAGAAAATTCAAAGGGCTGTAACTTTTGAACTAGTAGCCCAATCTTGGAACTGTTTGAAATTATGGATTCTACAGGTCACATTCTATAAGAAAATGTTTTTCCCGGATCGATCCGAGACAATTTTTTCTTCGGGGCCCAAAAAAAGGCAGTGTATTACCTTCCTTTTTACCAAAAATCGACTGCACCAAAATTTCTCGGGAAAACACTTTTTCTTATTAATTTTGGTGCGTAGAATCCAAAACAATTCGTACTTTTTCCATCAGACTTCTCAATCAAAAGTTATAGACTAGAAACCAATTTCGAAAGAAAATTCAAAGGGCTGTAACTTTTGAACTAGTAGCCCCATCTTGGAACTGTTTGAAATTATGGATTCTACAGGCCACATTCTATAAGAAAATTTTTTTTCCGGGTCGATCTGAGACAATTTTTTTTTCCGGGTTCAAAAAAAGGCAGTGTATAACCTTCCTTTTTTACCAAAAATCGACTACACCAAAATTTCTCGGGAAAACACTTTTTCTTATTATTTTTGGTGCGTAGAATCCAAAACAATTCGTACTTTTTCGATCGGACTTCTCAATCAAAAGTTATGGACTAGAAACCAATTTCGAAAGAAAATTCAAAGGGCTGTAACTTTTGAACTAATAGCCCAATCTTGGAACTGTTTGAAATTATGGATTCTACAGGCCACATTCTATAAGAATTTTTTTCTTCCGGGTCGATCTGAGACAATTTTTTTTTCGGGGCTCAAAAAAACGCAGTATATAACCTTCCTTTTTTACCAAAAATCGACTACACCAAAATTTCTCGGAAAAACACTCTTTCTTATTAATTTGGGTGCGTAGAATCCAAATCAATTCGTACTTTTTCGATCAGACTTCTCAATCAAAAGTTATAGACTAGAAACCAATTTCGAAAAAAAATTCAAACGGCTGTAACTTTTGAACTAGTAGCCCAATCTTGGAACTGTTTGAAATTATGGATTCTACAGGCCACATTCTATAAGAAAAATTTTTTTCCGGGTCGATCTGAGACAATTTTTTTTTCGGGGCTCAAAAAAAGGCAGTGTATAACCTTCCTTTTTTACCAAAAATCGACTACACCAAAATTTCTCGGGAAAACACTTTTTCTTATTAATTTGGGTGCGTAGAATCCAAATCAATTCGTACTTTTTCGATCAGACTTCTCAATCAAAAGTTATAGACTAGAAACCAATTTCGAAAGAAAATTCAAAGGGCTGTAACTTTTGAACTAGTAGCCCAATCTTGGAACTGTTTGAAATTATGGATTCTACAGGCCACATTCTATAAGAAAATTTTTTTCCGGGTCGATCTGAGACAATTTTTTTTCGGGCCTCAAAAAAAGGCAGTGTATAACCTTCCTTTTTTACCAAAAATCGACTACACCAAAATTTCTCGCGAAAACACTTTTTCTTATTAATTTTGGTGCGTAGAATCCAAAACAATTCGTACTTTTTCGATCAGACTTCTCATTCAAAAGTTATAGACTAGAAACCAATTTCGAAAGAAAATTCAAAGGGCTGTAACTTTTGAACTAGTAGCCCAATCTTGGAACTGCTTGAAATTATGGATTCTACAAGCCACATTCTATAAGAAAAAATTTTTTTCCGGATCGATCTGAGACAATTTTTTTTTTCGGGCCTCAAAAAAGGCAGTGTATAACCTTCCTTTTTTACCAAAAATCGACTGCACCAAAATTTCTCGAGAAAACACTTTTTCTTATTAATTTTGGTGCGTAGAATCCAAAACAATTCGTACTTTTTCGATTAGACTTCTCAATCAAAAGTTATGAACTAGAAACCAATTTCGAAAGAAAATTCAAAGGGCTGTAACTTTTGAACTAGTAGCCCAATCTTGGAACTGTTTGAAATTATGGATTCTACAGGCCACATTCTATAAGAAAATTTTTTTTCGGGTCGATCTGAGACAATTTTTTTTTCGGGGCTCAAAAAAAGGCAGTGTATAACCTTCCTTTTTTACCAAAAATCGACTGCACCAAAATTTCTCGGGAAAACACTTTTTCTTATTAATTTTGGTGCGTAGAATCCAAAACAATTCGTACTTTTTCGATCAGACTTCTCAATCAAAAGTTATAGACTAGAAACCAATTTCGAAAGAAAATTCAAAGGGCTGTAACTTTTGAACTAGTAGCCCAATCTTGGAACTGTTTGAAATTATGGATTCTACAGGCCACATTCTATAAGAAAATTTTTTTCCGGGTCGATCTGAGACAATGATAGGCGACGCACCTCGTGTGGATTGTATATTTTGTTACTTTTAATTATCAGCTGCAATTTAAAAAAAGAACTGTATGGTAATTTATTTTCGAGAAAGGAGTACTTTAAAATGTTTTTGTGGTGCACCTCAGAACTAACCCCCCCCCCCCTTCCCCCCATCGTTACTACACTCATACTCTAATGGCCCGTAACCTATGCAATTCCACCTGGCCCGCAGTTACCCAGTCCGCCCACCCCTCAGACAGGTGCCTAGTCCCTCGTGCGGAATATGATCGATGATCTTTAGACGCTGCATTATAGCTGGTTTTTTTTTTAATTCTGATAACTTAGATATTTTTTCGATTAAATGGCCTTTTTAGCCGTTTGGGTCGCATCCCTAGATCATTTTAAATCATGGTTTGAGCGGTTCGTTTCTTCTCACCGTTGCCATTTTCTTTTTGAAGCAACTGAAACTCAGACCTCAGTACTATTCCATTGGTTTTAGTTAATCTATGCTCGCTTCTGTTAATAATTCAGCCTTGTTTGCATAATGTTCTGTTGTTAATCTTCATGAATTCAAAACGGGGTGCAGTGAAAAGGAGAAACTTTTTGCATGTCTCGCGAAAATGTTTTCTTGAATTAGCAATCTACTCTCAGAATCCTTATCACTCGAAATTTTATTTGCCAGTTCAAGTGTTTTATTTTCTTCGACAAAGTTTATCGCCCGCTTCTTGATAAGAACTCGGAAGTTATTTTTCAAAAATTCAATTCTAAGAGGGTCATGTCAATACCGTTGTTATCCAACTGAATGACATTAAAGTTGACAATAAAAGTAGTTGTTTTCGACCATTTTTGCGCGCTATTGTTTATTTTAAGAATTGTTTACTCGATCTGCTACAAACAAGTTCTGTGATGAGGCTGCATTTGGGGGGCGTGGACTGTAGTAAACACACTACGTACAAAATTAGAATTTTTATCGGTTATTTACCCATTAATTATAGTGGCGTGAGATAGTTTCTTGTAATCGTTGCCCAAATGAAGGAGGTGTGTCTGATAGTATTGACGTACCAGAAAAAGAAACGGTAAAAGTTGCAATTTTGCAGAGCCCCCACCTTGGGAACCAGAGAAGTTTGAGTGCTTTATTTAGAGATAAAGGCAACCAAACATCTTAATCTGATGATCCCATTGTGAAATGCACCCACAATCTTTATCGAAGCAATTATGCAAAAAAAAAGTGGGCTAATCTCACAATTAGTTTCAATGCCAACAAAATTAATTCTAGTGGAAGCGGATGGTGGGGTTTTTGATTAACAAGTGAAAGCTATTTATAGTATCGGTTACCGCAAATAGCAACGCTTTATTAGTGCAAAATCGAATTTTATAGTTTCTTCTTTGAAGATCTCTTGGTTTTTTGAGTTTACAGAACAATTTCTTGAGTTTGATTCAAAACCGTAAGTACAATGTGCATAATTTCATCCCAAGAATAATGTCTAAATCCAGGTGAGGTCATGGAATCTTGCTGCACCTACAACTCTTTGCTTATGAGCGCATCGAGAATGTCTTGGAGGAGATTGAAGGAAGGATTTGGAAGAGATGTTCTGCGTCCATCTAAGAAGTTGAAAAGTGAATCCTGTAGTCGCAGAACGGGAGTAACAATCATCCCCAAAAGTTTGGCCCCTTTAGCAAGATTAAGCAGCTGATGGATATGATGATTTAGAAAGGCTTGACGTGCGTAAAAATTTCGCTTTGAAACGCATCGAGCATGGATTCTTTAGGAAAAGGAGCAGTTTAAAGAAGGTGGCAAACTTGAACTGTAACCAGGTATGTTGAAAGGCATGCCTAATTAAAAGGAACTGGATTTAAGCAGAAACCAAATTGAAAAATTGTCGTTTACTCACCGACGTTTCCGACATTAGCGCATAACGACATCAAAAGCCTATCCACGAAGGTGTTTTACGGACTTCCATTCTTGGTAAATCTCGATCTGAGCTTTAATCGTCTCCAAGGTTGGAACGACGAAGCCTTCTCCTACGTTAACATGCTTCAACATCTCAACATCAGCAACAACGCGATAATGGAGCTCACCCCCGCCTCCTTCAAGAGACTAAACCCTCTCGTCACCCTCAACCTGGAAGGCAACTACCTCGAGAGTTTAGAATAGGACAGCTTCTTCGGTTTACCCCGCTTGGACCACCTCAGCGTTAACAACAATAAGCTCCAAGAAATCGACACCTACACCTTTGATGCCATTCGCAAACTCAAGGTTTTGCTATTGGAAAACAACGAAATTTTCATCTTCGGCCCGGAAGTCTTCCACAACTTGGACAAGGTCGAGTTTTTCACCTGCAATCGCAACAGCACCCCCAAACTCGAACTCGATACCTTCAAAGGCTTCTCGGGGGTAACCACTTTACACCTGACTAACATGAACATTGAAACCTTGGACGAAGATTGGTGTTCCAGTTTGTATTCCGTCACCGACCTCGACTTGAGCCAAAACAAACTCACTCATCTTCCACCGTACGCATTCCGCTGCACCAAAGCGCTGACCAAGCTAAACCTGCGCGACAACCTCATCGAAACCGTCGACACGCGCACGTTCGACACCGTCTTCAACTTGCAGCACCTGGACCTATCCAACAACAAACTGCGACAAGTCCCCAGCAACATCTACGACAACTTGTGCAGCGTCCTAACCCTAAACTTGGCCCACAATCTCATCGTCTCCCTAAATCCACTCTCCTTAATCGCCTTTCGAGGACTGAACAAGCCGGACCTCTCCTACAACCAAATCGAGATCATCGAACCCGACGCCTTCCTCGCGAACCACAAATTCGTAAGGCTCAGCGTCAGCTTCGGCTGCGACCTCCTGGATCGCGTCCACTAACTTAATCGACAGAGCGAAGAAACCGAGAAGCGCGATACATCTGCCGGAACGGTTGAGAAACTTGACGAGGCTCGAATTCGACAGCTGCTGAATGACGCACCTCGACATCGACACCTCCACCGTCGCGAAACTCGACAATTCCAAGACGTAGACCTGCTGATGATGATATCACACAAACCAACCAGTTAATTACAAACTTTCGTCATTAAGTATCTTGTAGGTATATAATCATTAAAGTTGCATGCCTTTTGGGTCGCGTAATGCACCCTCCACTTCTTGATGTTTGGATTTCAGTACGCAGAGGCGAACCTGCTATGAGTCTTAGCCGAGGTCAACTGAGGCTAAACTTTTATGGTCAAAGTGTGATCCGCAACCCCCCCCCCCCCCCCGCCGAGCTCTAGGTTAAATTTCAGAGTTGTTTTTGCTCGCTTGCTGTGATCAACGTCAAGTTCTAAGAAGTTCCAAGGAAACATGTTGATCTTTTCATTTATCGTTTAAACCAAGGTCTCATCGTTATGTATGTACGTTTGGCCGTTGGACCCCCCTTTCCTTGCATTCCGTGAAATGAAGTGATTAAGCTGTCTGCCAATGCTAATTAATAAAGCGATGCACTGTTTAATCAAAGTCGAATGTTATTTACACAATGCAAAGTGATCTATTTTCGTCCCAATGTGGTATCTACGTTAGTTCATGAAAGTGCATTAATTTAAAGCACTTCGAACCGAAGTTCGTACACGTAATCTATCTAGACTCTTGACTTTTATTTATATCGCTCTAGCAAACTGCACTTAATAAAAAGTGACTGCTTAAGAATACGGGCCAGCTTGTATTGCATTAAGGGTGTTTTGATCTTCTGAGCTTCCACAGTAACCTTTTAACCCTCCTAAACGCATCTAGCAGCTTTTGGCAGTCAGTTCCAAGCCTCTAAATACGATTAAGAGTCCTTATAGCTATTAAGATAACTAGGTGTTTAGGTACTGTGTAGGAGCGCATATTTTATCCGAATTCGTCTTTTATTAATTATTATCAAAAATGTTTCTCGAGGCTGGCGTGGGTGGTAACCATGGTAATAGAATCAACATTAAGTACGAAAAATCAGCGTACATAAGTAGTGTATATTGGAGGTTGCTAGGGAATACAATACCGGGATCGCGGGATCCCGAAATACCGGGATCCCGCACACAAATGAAGCGTGATTTGCGGGACTGAGGAATTTATCGACCAAGTGGACGACTCTGTATACTTTGTTAATGAAACGCATAACGGAGAAGTTATTTTTTATATAATTGTTAAAGTTTTTTCGTTAAAAATTTACTATGATTTTTGAGGCACTTTAGAAGTTCACCTTTTTGTGCTTTACAGGTGAGGTTTTTTGAGTTCTAAGTCAGTCCGAAGGTACTTTTTTTGTTAAATGTTGTGATAATTAGCGACTTATTTTAATGCAGAAGTTAACCGCACAGAATTGCTTAGTTGCCAATTTATTTAAAGTTTTGCGGTATGAGATCTTGCTGCGGGATTGCATTCCCTAGTCACATTCTATCAGAAAATTTCTTTTCCGGATCGATCTGTGACAATTTTTTTTTTCGGGGCTCAAAAAAAGGCAGTGTATAACCTTACTTTTTTACCAAAAATCGACTGCAACAAAATTTCACGGGAAAACACTTTTTCTTATTAATTTTGGGGCGTAGAATCCAAAACAATTCGTACTTTTTCGATCAGACTTCTCAATCCAAATTTATAGACTAGAAACCAATTTCGAAAAAAAATTCAAAGGGCTGTAACTTTTGAAATAGTAGCCCAATCTTGGAACTATTTGAAATTATGGATTCTACAGGCCACATTCTATAGGAACATTGTTTTTCCGGATCGATCAGAGACAATTTTTTTTTCGGGGCTCAAAAAAAGGCAGTGTATTATAACCTTCCTTTTTTACCAAAACTCGACTGCACCAAAATTTCACGGGAAAACACTTTTTCTTATTAATTTTGGGGCGTAGAATCCAAAACAATTCGTACTTTTTCGATCAGACTTCTCAATCCAAATTTATAGACTAGAAACCAATTTCGAAAAAAAATTCAAAGGGCTGTAACTTTTGAAATAGTAGCCCAATCTTGGAACTATTTGAAATTATGGATTCTACAGGCCACATTCTATAGGAACATTGTTTTTCCGGATCGATCAGAGACAATTTTTTTTTCGAGGCTCAAAAAAAGGCAGTGTATAACCTTCTTTTTTACCAAAAATCGACTGCAACAAAATTTCTCGGGAAAACACTTTTTCTTATTAATTTTGGTGAGTAGAATCCAAAACAATTCGTACTTTTTCGATCAGACTTTTCAATCAAAAGTTATAGACTAGAAATCAATTTCGAAAAAAAATTCAAAGGGCTGTAACTTTTAAACTAGTAGCCCAATCTTTGAACTGTCTGAAATTATGGATTCTACAGGCCACATTCTATAAGAAAAAATTTTTTCCGGGTCAATCTGAGACAATTTTTTTTCGGGGCTCAAAAAAAGGCAGTGTATAACCTTCCTTTTTTACCAAAAATCGACTGCACCAAAATTTCTTGGGAAAACACTTTTTCTTATTAATTTTGGTGCGTAGAATCCAAAACAATTCGTACTTTTTCGATCAGACTTCTCAATCAAAAGTTATAGACTAGAAACCAATTTCGGAAAAAAATTCAAAGGGCTGTAACTTTTGAACTAGTAGCCCAATCTTGGAACTGTTTGAAATTATGGATTCTACAGGCCACATTCTATAAGAAAATTTTTTTTCCGGATCGATCTGAGACAATTTTTTTTCGGGGCTCAAAAAAAGGCAGTGTATAACCTTCCTTTTTTACCAAAAATCGACTGCACCAAAATTTCTCGGGAAAACACTTTTTCTTATTAATTTTGGTGCGTAGAATCCAAAACAATTCGTACTTTTTCGATCAGACTTCTCAATCAAAAGTTATAGACTAGAAACCAATTTCGAAAGAAAATTCAAAGGGCTGTAACTTTTGAACTAGTAGCCCAATCTTGGAACTGTTTGAAATTATGGATTCTACAGGCCACATTCTATCAGAAATTTTTTTTTCCGGATCGATCTGAGAATTTTTTCTTCGAGACTCAAAAAAAGCAGTGTAACCTTCCTTTTTTACCAAAAATCGACTGCACCAAAATTTCTCGGGAAAACACTTTTTCTTATTAATTTTGGTGCGTAGAATCCAAACCAATTCGTACTTTTTCGATCAGACTTCTCAATCAAAAGTTATAGACTAGAAACCAATTTCGAAAAAAAATTCAAAGGGCTGTAACTTTTGAACTAGTAGCCCAATCTTGGAACTGTTCGAAATTATGGATTCTACAGGTCACATTATACCGGGATCCCGCGGGATTAACATCTAGCAATCCCGCAAATACCGGGATTGAGATTTTGCTGCGGGATTGCATTCCCTAGAGGTTGCCATTGAGGACGTATTTTATTTTATAGATAACTTAACGAACGAGTTTAAACAAATCTTAGAAGAGCGAAAAATTCATGTAAGACTGCCGCCCGGAAATAGTTATGAAATAGAGGCGTCCTCAGGGATCAGTATTAAGGCCAGTGCTATGGAATATGGCGTAAGATGATGTAGTAGGCACTATGGTACCGAGGGGGGTGAAGTTGGTTGCTTTTGCAGATGACCTCACAGTGTAGGTAGTTAGAATGAGAAACGTCAGGGAAATCCTGGAGCTGGTGCAGAGAAGTGTGTGTGTGTGGTGGTGGACTCGATATATCAGAAGATAGTATCATCGACGATAGCATGATAGAAAGTCAGAGTAGCTGGAGGATGATAGACGAGTTCATCACGCACGTAGAACTAAGTAACAGATATCTCTAATTGTCAGTTAAGAGGAGCAATTAGACAACCTTTAAGTTAATAGTCAATAAACCTAATTTAGTTAAAAGTGCCGATTAGTGGCGATTAGGCTTAAGTTTCTCTTAAAATTAACAAACAGATCTCATTGGCGGTTGAAAGTACCAATTAGGATAAAATAAAATTGAAAGTAGCGATTAGGACCAATACAAAAAGGTGTAATTATCAGTTAAAGGCAGTAATTAGTAAGAACTTTCAATTAAAAATGTAAAATAGCTACCATAGTTCTAAATGGTTAAAAGAACAACCTTCCGGATAGAAAATAAGGGTAAAATTGGGACTAGGTAAAATTAAATTTCAGGTGAAAGCAGCAATTATAAGAATTAGAAGTCTTGACGTCACGCCATCCTGTGTATTTGCCAATAAGAGGACTACTCGTAATCATGCTAATTAAGGATTAAGCAAAGCCCATAAACACATTTTAATTTGCATTAACGTAAGCGCGATTTTTTCTCTCGCTCGTTGGTCGTCTCAGTCGAATTTTGTACAGTAACTGACCTTCGGTAGTACCCAATATTTTACTATTGTTTGTCGTGGAGATATTGACATTGACTGCGGCGGCAAGTCATCGTATTGACAAAATCGCTGAAGGGGGTGTGGTTGTTTGATGATAGCTTATCGTAAAGGTCGCAAACAGTGTAATTTACCCAATTATCACTATGAGATAGTAGTTAAAAATATGTTATTTGTACGTTCTAGTGGGGGGAATCGCTGGGGCATTGATCGTGCTGATACTCCAAGCACGCTAAGGTATAAATAACACTCAGTTCAGGCTACTTCGCAGTGTAGTAGTAACCTGCTGATCGGATTCAAGGCTATTTTCATCACACTTTTTGCATACGTTTACACGCTGTAAGTCATTGACGTAAATAAAGAAACCCTTACCTATTCCCTTTTTTTAGCTCATGGAATCGTGGCACCTCTACAATCCCGCTCTGGGCTTAGGCGCCATAGCCAAGATTCGACTCTCCATTAACGAAAACGTAGAGGGCGCCCTGCAGGAAGTCGGACGGCATGTTCTGAAAGATACGGTAGTAGTAAACGAAATCGAAAACCTAATCTTTCAGTCTCACGCTGCAGACGACCCGTGGCAATTCGCCCCATTCAAGAAAATTAAACACCTCTACCTAGACTGCAATCGAGAGGTGCTATCCGCCGGTTTGCTGGACGGATTGGACGACTTGGAAGGGATCTACATTCCCGGCAACAGGTCGTTGAAGACCATCCAGCCTGGGTTCTTCAGCGACAAGAAAAACCTGAAAAGGGTGGTCATCAACAATGGGAAGCTGCAACTGGAACTGGGCACCTTTAGAGGAATGCCCAATCTGAAGGAGCTCGATTTGAGAGGAAACCAAATCGAAGACCTCCCCGTGGGTTTATTTACCGACGTACCCGACGTAGAGAAGCTGACACTGGCTCACAACAACATCATGAGCTTGCCCACGAAGATCTTCTACGGACTTCCTTTCCTGAACGACCTCGACCTCAGTTGGAACCACTTGGAGTCGTGGAACGACGAGGCCTTCTCCTACGTGAACATGCTCCTCCGCCTCAACATCAGCAACAACGACATAAACCGGCTAATTCCGGCCTCCTTCAAGAGGCTCAACTCTCTCCTCGCGCTCCACCTCGACGGGAACTACCTCGAGAACTTGGAGAAGGACAGCCTTGTCGGGCTGCCGCGTCTGGGCCATCTCAGCGTGAACAACAACATGCTGAAGAAGATCGACACCTTGACTTTCGACTACGTCAAGGCGCTCGGCGTCTTACTCTTGGAAGGTAACGACATCGCCTCGCTCGGCTCGGAAGCGATCAACGATTTGGTCACGTCTCTGCGCGTGGAGGAAGACTGGTGCGTCGGCCTGCACTCGCTCACCGAGCTGGACCTGAGCGGAAATAAGATCAGGCACATTCCCGCGAACGCCTTCGACTCCGCCAGGGCGCTGTCCAAGTTGAATCTGCGCGACAACCTCATCGAGAGCATCGATCCGAGGGCGTTCGATAACGTTTTCAAGCTGAAGTCTCTGGACTTGTCGCGTAACAGACTGCCGCGACCCCCCAGCAATAGCTACGGTGACCTCTGCTCCGTCGCCGTCCTCAACCTGTCGAATAATCGAATCACGAGCATGGGGAGGAACTCGCTGGTCGCGTTTCGAGGTGTCCGAGACCTGGACATTTCCGGAAACCCGGTGGAGTCCATGGAGCCGGACACGTTCTTCTTCAACCGGAAGCTCGCCAATCTACGCGTCAGCTTTAGCTGTTCACGTGCGGCTACTTCGTGGTTGGACGCCGTCGGCCTGACCAACGAGTACCTGCCCGAGCGTTTGAGGAATTCGACCAGAATCAAAGCCGAGAGTGATGATGGTAGCACGCATATCGAAATTCGTGCGAGTTTACCGACCGAGGAATGGAATAAATGTGATAGCATTATCAAGTTCAAGCAGCTAGTTACTAACTTGATGTATTAGGTTTACGCAATAAAACAGTCATTTCGAAATTCATTATTGCGCCTAAATGTAGGCAACACACGCATCCTTCAGGCAAAGTTGGTAATCTTACGTACGAATTTTTTGCCTCTTTCTCACCGAAATTAATCTAAGATACCCGAACTACCTCCGCCATAGAAATACGTGGATGTGTACATAGGTATTCCACGGTCGCCATGAGTAGGTATATTAAAAACAAGTATAAATTGTGCACAACTCTTGTGCAGAATAAGTGCATTTTTTTTAACCGAAATAGCTTTTGGTTTGACATCACCAATGGATATAATTCTTGCAGACGTCTCAATCACTCTTTGTGAGTACCCTCTTCCGATCCGTTCTTGAGGTATAAGGGGATATATCCGATCACGATAAGAGGGAGGGCTATAGTTGGTAGAAATTAATTCCTTTCGATGAGACCTTTCATTAGAGTACCATGAGGGATAAAACTAGCCCCCCCCCCCACACACCCCGTACTTTGATAAGACAGAAAGAAGGGCAGTAGTTAGTAGAAAACGGTTCCTTTCGTTGAGACCTTTAATTAGAATACAATAAGAGGTGAAATTAATTTTTATCCCCCCCCCCCTCCCTCAGGCCCCGTCGCTCACTGATCTCGATTATTTTAGACAGCGAAATTTGATGGCCATCTGGCATACCTTCAAGGTATAGGCTACCTACTACAAAAAATTCCAGGATTCTAGGACCATTCCCCTAGAAGTAGTTCGAAACGACAGAAGTGGGTGCGAACGGACGGACGGACAAAACGCCAACAATACCAAACTCTTAAAAAATGCGCTAAAAACCTCAAAGGAAGCAGCGAGAAACCTAAAAAAACATGGAAATATCTCTAAGAATGCTGGCAGAAAGCGCGAAGAAAGCTTGAAGCAAGCGTGCGGAAATCTCTAAAGAAGCGTGAAGAGATCACGATGAAAGCGTGAAGAAGGAAGATAAAACAGTGTTCAAGTAGATGTGAAAACATCACAAAGGAGGTATTACAAATCTTGAAAGAAGCGTAAAGAAATCTAAAAGGAGGCATTCTGCAGTATAGAAACAGGCCTGCAGAACTGTCGATGTAGGCGTGAAGAAAGCTGAAGGAAACACAATAAAGAATCGAAGAAGGCTCACGAAGCGTTAAGATGCCTTGAAGAAGTGCAAGGAAGGTTTGAAGAGGAGTGAGCCGTGAAAAATGACGGAAGAGAGTATGAATAATTTGAGAAGGAGTGAAGAAATCTCGAAGAAGACATGAAGAATCGAAATAGGGAGATGCGAAGAAATATCGGAGGCGGCCTTAAGATGAGTACAGGGTGTCCCATTAATAATGGTCACAGGCTATATCTATGGAACCATTAATTGCACAGCTTCGGAAAAAAAAATTTGTTAACAAAAGGGGCCAAGAGAAATCGCTGGAAATTTTCTAACTTCGCCGCTAGAGGGCGTATGATTCATGGTTAGGTAGAAAAATGACTTTTATTATTTACTCAATTCATATTTCTCTGATTTAGTTTGAATCATTTTTTTGTTGCTCATAATTAAAAAAACTTAGATTGAGTGTTAATTTTGAACTGCCATCGCCTCATTCACTTTGACATAATTATCGGTTGCTTTTTGTTCATTTGTTTCATATCCAACTTGGATGAATATAAATATTGCAATTAAAATTTGTGAATGTTCGTATTTTCCCCATATCTTTGTTTAGAAAACAGATATCAAAATGCGGTTTTCACTGATATTCTCACTTTTTCATCTTATTTGATAATATAATATAATAATTATATCGTTCCATTTGAAATTTTTAAAAAAACGAGCGAAGTTTATGTTAATGTCACATCGCGCCCTCTACCACTCATCACGTTTACTAAATAGACTCTCTTCATGTAAAATCTGATTCCGCGAAGAGAGCTCCTTCCAACAAGACCTATTATGTGAAAATCTGTTAACCTAATCCGAAGTTACAATCAATTCCTTAAAGAGATGTTCCCCTTCCTCCACTCCTCATATTTTATGAGCTAGAGCAATTTGCGCTCCATCAAAATGATGCAAAATTGATACAAGATTACGATGCATGTATTTTTTATGCATGTTTGTTGGTATATTTTAGGAAAAAAGTCATTTGTCTACTTAACCATGAATCGTACGCCCTCTAGCGGCGAAGTTACAAACTTGAAAATAATTTCCAGGCCCCTTTTGTTAACAAATTTTTTTCCCCGAAGCTGTGCAATTAACGGTTCCATAGATATGACCTGTGACCATTATTAATGGGACACCCTGTACAAGGAGCCGTGGAAAACTCTTGAAGAAGGTGTGAGGAAACCCTCGGGGATTTGTGATGAATTCTCAAATGGGCTTAAAGGAGGCACGAAAAGGCTTGAAAGAAAGATGAAGAGACTCAGAAAGGAAGCGCGAAAGAACTTGAATCGGATGTATAAAGATGGCTCGAAGGAGCAATGAACAAATTCCAAATGAGGCGTACACAAGGAAACCTGGAAAAGTTTAGAAGAAGACGTGAAGAAATTAGGAAAGATGCATGCGGACGTGACGAAGGATAGTGACAAAGAAGGCACACAGACGAATTGAAGAAGACGCGAAGATAGCTTTAAGCAAACTTGAGAAATCTTCACGGAAGTGTAGACATAGAGAAGGCTCAAGGGAGATAAAGAAGATTGGAAGGAGACGCAAAGAAGAGTGGGCCAAGCGTTTACTCTCAATGGAGGTGTGACGAAAACACGAAACAAGCGTGGGGAAACCTATCTTGACGGTGGCGTAAATACGTTCAAAGGCGGAACAAAGAAGACTTCAAGAAAATTTGAAGGGGTATGCACACATCTTGAATGAGATTCGAATGAAGCGCGAAAGGGCTCGAATCAAGCGCAAAAAAGGCATAAAGGAGAAGTGCAGAAGACTAGAAGGAGGCATGAAGAAAGGTCAAATAACTATCAGGAAAAAGTGAAGAATACTCGAAGGAAGTAGGGGACGGAGGCGAGAAAAAGGCTTGAACGAAGAGTAAAGGACGATAGAAGAAGGTATGGAGAAATCTTAACAAAGCGAGAAGAATAATTGAAGCAAGCGTGAAGGAATCTCGAAGAAATGTTGAATAAAACGTAAAATGGTCTAAAAAAAAATGCGCAAGGAATCTCAACTCAAATAAATAATCGTCAAGAATTTCGAAAAAGATGTGAAGACGGCTGAAAGAGGCTTCATGAAATCTCCAAGGATACGTAAACAAGACTTGACGGAGACGTAAAGAAAGCGTGAAGACGTCTCGAAGGAGGCATAAAGGAGAAGCGAAGAAGGCCTCGGAAGCGGCAAGACGGTTCCAAGACGGTGTAATTTGGAATATCCGCCTCCAGGGAACACTTGCTGCTAGACAAATCTTACTTCCTTCGCCATCTTTCATCATTCATCCTCAAAAAGCCCCACAGCAAAATTTTCCTTTAAAAAAAGCTTCCGTGAAATACTGACCTTCAAGAAGACGCTCTCTAAAAATATTCACCGCTCCAGGAGTAACCCCTCGGTAAATCTCCCGCCCTCTATAAAATGTTTCCATCTGATGCTTGGTATCTCTCGGAATATCCATCCCCCAAGAGAACGTGTTGTTAAAACCGCATTCGCAAGGGCTTCTACTCGTCCCCAGGAAAACTCATGGGTAGGTAAATTCTTCTTCAGAAATTTCCGACCTTGAAGATATATTCTCTAAACCCTTGCCTAAAAATTTGCTTCCAACGAAAGGTGCATAAAATTGCTTTTGGCGTAAAGTTCGGGGGCACCTCGTCTTTTTTAGGTGGCGAAATTATAGACACCTTCTTCTCGCCCTTCACTTCATAGTCTACCTCTTTTCCGGTTTCCGTTCTACGGTTTCCAGTCTTTGCTTCCGTTTCTGCCTTCCGCTTTTCCCTTCTTATTTCCCGTGTACAAGTTCTTCTAGTTTTCCTCTTTCTACTTCCTACTGCGGTTTCCGTGTCTTCTTTTCATTGCTTTATTGTTGCTCGTTACCGCTTTCCTGTTATTGCTTTCCGTTACCTTTCCCATTACTTGCGTTTCTTGTTTCCCGTATCCTCTACACTCGCTCGCCAGTACCAACTTACCGTTCCCAGTTTCTCTCGCAATCCTCGCTCCCTAGAATTCCATCCACGGTTTCCCATTTTTGTCTCACGCTTTTAGTATTTCAGTGCCAATTCTCGCTTTTGGCTACCCCGCGCCCCATTCCCCATTTTCGTTATCTGTTTGAAACCCACGTTTCCCCATTTTCTTCCGCAGTTTCCCGCGTCTGCTTCTCGTTTCTGTGTTCCGTTTCCTGATTTTGATTCATGTCTCTGTGCCTTATTTATGTTTCCCGTCTCCTTTTCCTATCTTCCGTTTCCAGTGTCCTTGCTTCCGTTTGCACTTATAGTTTCCCGTTTCCGTTAACCATTTCATGTCTGTTTCTATTTCCAAATACAAAAACGAGAACCTTCAAAATGTGTAAAATGGTTTTGATAATATCACGGATTTTCCTGGCTGAGAAAGAAAATACCTCTCTTAGTTACGATTCTTCGTTACCGTTTCCCATTGTCGTTTCCCGTTACCGTTTCCCGTTGCCCTTTCCTCTTACTGCTTTCCGTTACATTTCCTATTACTTTCTTGTTGCCCGTATCCTCTACCCTCACTCGCCAGTACCCATTTTCGTTATCTGTTTCAAACCCCCGTTTCCCCATTCTCTTCCGCAGTTTCCCGTGTCTGCTTCTCGTTTCTGTGTTCCGCTTCCTGATTTTGATTCATGTCTCTGTGCCTTATTTATGTTTCCCGCCTCCTCTTCCTGTTTCTGTTCCCGTCTCCCTTTCCTATCTTCCGTTTCCAGTGTTTCTGCTTCCATTTCTTATTTGCACCTCTAGTTTCCCGCTTCCGTTAACCATTTCATGTCTGTTTCTATTTCCAAATACGAAAACGGGAATCTTGAAAATGTGTAAAATGGTTTGAAAAATATCATCGATTTATAGGAATGTTTTCCTGGCTAAAAAAGAAAATACTTCTCTTAGTTACGATTTTTCGTTACCGTTTCCCGTTACCGTTTCCTGTTACTTTTTCCCGTTACCTTTTCCCGTTACCATTTCCCGTTACCGTTTTCCGTGACCGTTTCCCGTTACCGTTTCTCGTTACCGTTTTAATATCACCGTTTTAATATCACGAATTTTCCTGGCTGAGAAAAAATATACCTCTCTTAGTTACGATTCTTCGTTACCGTTTCCCGTTACCGTTTTCCGTTACCGTTTCTCATTACCCTTTCCGGTTACCGTTTCGCGTTACCTTTTCCCGCTACCCGTTACCGTACCGGTACCTGCTTCCTATCTTTGTTCCTTATCTCCGTTTCCTTATCAGACGTCCATTTCCTATCTCCTGGCTGAGAAAAAATATACCTCTCTTAGTTACGATTCTTCGTTACCGTTTCCCGTTACCGTTTCTCATTACCCTTTCCGGTTACCGTTTCGCGTTACCTTTTCCCGCTACCCGTTACCGTACCGGTACCTGCTTCCTATCTTTGTTCCTTATCTCCGTTTCCTTATCAGACGTCCGTTTCTTATCTCCCGTTTCCGTTATTTGTTTCTATTATTGTTCCGGTGTATTGTTGCTGTTTTTGTTTCCTATTTCCGTCTATAATCTATGTATAATGTCAACGTTTATAAAACTTTAGAGTTCAGAATTGTTTATCTACAGGGTGGCCACAAGAAGTATTTACATTTTTGATGGTAGTGTACTCAGCCCTGGAGAATTTTGGGGTGATGGGGCAGCGGTCATTCATCTGCTAAGGATTGGTATGAATTCTCCAAGATTGTTATTTCTATAGATCCCAGAGTGAGAGACCCCCTTCCCTCCCCCAGGTCGAATCTTGAAAAAATCTGCCAGGTTTCTTCTTCGACATTATCAGATATTTCAGGTTGTTAATTAGTAGTTCCCCACTTTGGAGAGCATCGCCTAAGAATTTTACATCTGGACTGAGAAAAGTAGCCCAAACGAGCTCTTATTCAATTAATAAGTAGCTGAAAATGTGTCGTTAATCTCGGGGTTGGCCCAAAGGTTATCGTTTTGAATATTTCCGCGCTCGTAGACAACAAAGACCAAAGGTCTGAAAACAGATTTCTATTCAATTAAATTATATGAAAATAGACTACAATAAATAATGATAAGGATATCTAAACGGCTAGCTTTCAATTTCAATTACATCGTCCTTCTTGGATAAGACGGCCACCACGGTTGGAGAAATGCAATTTCCCTCAACCCGAATCGACTTTAATCGCTTCAAGCTGACCACCTCCTCGACATTCGAAATAGCGTTGTAACCGAGATTCAAATCGGTTAAGTCGAGCGAATGGACCCAGCGCTCGATCGTCTTCAGGTGGTTGTAGCTCAAATCGAGGCTCTGCAGTTGTTCGTTCGCGGTAAACGCTTCGGGATCGATGAACTCGACGAGGTTGTTCGATAGGTCGAGATCGCGTAGCTCGCGAAACGAGGCGAACGACCGACGCCCTAAGGCGGCGATGTGGTTGTTTGATAGATTGAGGGTCGTGACGGTGTGGAGGTTGTCGACTTGGGCGGGGGGCTGTTTGAGACGGTTGCGCGATAGGTCCAGGTGTTTTAATCTGTAGACGCTGTAGAAGGCGAGCGGGTCGACGGTGTCGATGAGGTTGCCGCTGAGGTGGATTTCGTTGAGTTTTGGAATTGCGTGGAAGGCGCAGCGGGGGAGGCGGGTCAGTTTGTTCTCGTTGAGATTGAGTTCGGTGAGCGAGTGCAGGCCGACGCACCAGTCGTCCTCTAAGGTGTCCAGGTTGATTTTGTTGAGGTGGAGGGAGGTGAGACGAGAGAATCCGTTGAAGGAGTTCTTTTTCAGATTGCCAATGTTGTTGTTGTCCGATCGGAAGACCTGCAGCGTTGCCAGGTTGGTGAAGACGTTCTGGCCGATGGACGAAATCTCGTTATGCTCCAGTAGCAGAACCTTCAGAACCTTCAGGTGGTCGAATGTGGACGGGGTGATCGTTTTAAGCTTATTGTTGTTAACCCCCAGACAATCGAGCCGCGGTAGTCCGATGAAAGTGTCCTTTTCCAAATTTTCCAAGCTGTTGCTGTCGAGATTTAAAGTGAGGAGGGAGTTCAGCTTTTTGAACGATGACGGTTTTAGTTGCCTAAGTTTGTTGTTGCTGATGTCCAAGTGGTTTAAGCTGTTAACGTACGAAAAGGCCTCCTCGTTCCAGTCCTTCAGCTGGTTAAAGCTCAGGTCGAGCTCTTTCAGAAATGGCAGGCCATAGAAGCACTTGGCGGGCAAGCTCGCAATGTTATTGTGTGCCAGTACGAGTTTCTCGAGATCGGGAAGGTCGCCGAGGAGACCAAGAGGGAAACGCTCCAGGTGGTTGTGCCCCAAGTCGAGCTCCTTCAGGTTTGGCATCCCCTTAAACAAACCCACTTCCAACTGCAACCTCGCATTGTTAACCACAAGTCTCTTCAGAGCTGGTTTATTAGCGAAGAATCCAATTTCTATACGCTTTAACTCGTTGCCATTTGGTACGTAGAGACCTTCCAGGTCATCCAAGCCGTCCAGCAGCTCACACTCTAAGCTCTCCCAGTTGCACGACAAGTAAAGCTGCTTAACCTTACGGAATTGTGCAAACGTCGCCTTATTATTATCGCGGTTGCTTTGCGATTCTACGATTAAATTTTCAATTTGGTAGGCAGGTGTGGAACACTCCTCCAAAGGACGCCCTTTGATTTCTCGTAGCACGCTCTCTGCGTCTTCGCCCTTAGGCAACTCTAGCCTCCTCATCCCTATTTCCGGGTTATAAACGTACCAAGCTTCTGGTGTATGCATCCTAAAAAAACGACGGATAGTGCGGAATGCAAAATTTCGAAAACACTCACCTAGAGGAGTACCGTGCTGAATGAAGATAATCTAAACTCTTACTAACGCATTTGGTACACGTCCTTTGAAACTGAGCAATTGTAAAATACCAGCACTTAAATAGTCTGGCGATAACGATTCCTACAAGTAATGGGGCAAGGTTTACTTTCCAAGCTTACACGTAAATGAACCGATGATTATAACGCAATTTTTCTATACTTTATACGCTCTGACGCAAATGGGTTTTGTTAAAATAGCGCACCGAGTCAGATATGAAAACAGTTCCTTATCGGTTTGCTTGCACATTAAAAACTAGCAATTAAAGTGAATTACGCAAATATTTATTTCCCAGCCTTGATTGTGTTACGTCTCTGGATGTTTCTTTGTTCCTTCAAGTAAGGTCTCTACTTACCTATACTAAACTACAGATTTTGAAAATCTCCCTCAAGTAAAATGAAAAAACTAGGCTACCAGAAACTGGCTGCATTCCTGAGAAACATAAACAGAAGGCATATTGTCCATTTCAAAAAACATCCGATAACATTTGATTTCCCTTTTGCGTAGACTAAGCAAAGATAATGTTTTTAAATAACGTTACTGCCCAAGGTAAAGCGAAAACATTTCGAAACACGTCCAAATTTCAAAAATGTGAAGATCGTTTGCAAAAAAGTACGCTAGAAAATTTGCAAAAGAGCGATTGTGCGCTTCCCTTGCGTTTTCTGTCGAAATGACCAACTCTGGCATGAAAAACATAGTGACATTTGATGAATTCCATAACCTTTTCAAAAAAAAACGATGCACCTCTGGAAGTTTCCTTTCAGTATTTTTTTTCAATAAAAAATGTGCCAAATTCTTGACAGGACAGCTTCCTAGCTCAAGCCAAGAATCGCGCTCTTGGAAGAGTGTCTTCAAAAAATGGTAAGTGTAGAGAAACAAGCATAAATTGTGCACAACTCTTGTGCAGATAAAGCGCATAGCTTTTGTTTTGACAACACCAAGGGATATATTTCTTGCAGACGTCTCAATCGCCCTTTGTGAGTACCTCTTCCGACAATCCGATCTTGGGGCATAAGGGAATATACGCGATCACGATAAGAGGTCGAGGAGGAGGGTTATGGTTGGTAGAAATTAATTCCTTTCGTTGAGACCTTTCATTAGAGTACCATGAAGGATATAACTAGTTCCACCCCCCAACCCCCCTCCACCCCGTACTTTGATAAGGGGACAGAAAGAAGGGCAGTCGTTGGTAAAAAACGGTTCCTTTCTTTGAGACCTTTAATTTAAATACGATGAGAGATAAATTTAACTTTTAACCTCCCCCTCTCCCCCGCCCCTCAGGCTCCGTCGCTTATTGATCTCGAAAAAGAGTCGCACGGAAAAGTTATAGTTTGTGCAAACCAATTTATTTCGATGAGACCTTTCATTAGAATACCATGAAGGGTAGAACATGTATTTACCCCCCCCCCCCACCCCCACCACCATTTTCTAAAGTTTAACTTAACACCACTAAAGGCATGCGTATGCAAAATCTGAGACCAATTGGTTGTCGTATGTAAAAGTTACGCAAATTTTACTTTCAAAAACAGCATCTCAGGAAATAATTCGTGGGGGGTCGGGGGGGAGGCATTTTAGACAGAGAAATTTCATGGCCGTCTGGCACACCTTCAAGGTATAGGCTACCTACTGCAAAAAATTCCAGGACTCTAGGACCATTCCCCTAGAAGGAGTTCGCAACGGCAGAAGTGGGTCCGGACGGACGGACGGACAAAACGCAAACAATAGCACATTTTTAGCGCATTTTTTAAGAATTAAAAAAAATATGCGTTTTGTCCGTCCGGCCATCCGGACCCACTTCTACCGTTTTGAACTAGGTTTTGAACTACTTCTTGCGGAATGGTTCTAGAGCCCTAGAATTTTTTGCAGTAGGTAACCTATACCCTGAAGGTGTGCCAGACGGTCATTAAATTTCGCTGTTCAAAAGGCCCCCCCCCCCCCCCATGAATTATTTCCTGAGATGCTGTTTTTGAAAGTAAAACGTGCATAACTTTTACATACGACAACCAATTGGTCTCAGATTTTGCATACGCATGCTTTTAGTGGTGCCAAGTTAAACTTTAGAAAATGGGGGGGGGGGGAGTAAACACATGTTCTACTCTTCATGGTATTGTAATGAAAGGTCTCATCGAAATAAATTGGTTTGTACAAACTATAACTTTCCCGTGCGACTCTTTTCGAAATCAGTGAAGGCAAGCCAAGGGGACGGGCCTGAGGACGGGGGGGGGGGTGGGTAAAGACTTAAATTGTATCTCTCATGTTATTCTAATTTAAAGGTCTCAACGAAAGGAAAGCGTTTTTACCAACGGACTGCCTTCTTTATTGTCTTCTTAACAAAGTCGGGCGGAGGGGAGGGGGGGAGTGAAACTAGTTGTATCCTCATGGTACTACTATGAAAGGTTCTCAACGAAAGGAATTAATTTGACCAACATAGCCCTCCTCCTCGACCTGTATCGTGATCGGAATATTCCCTTATGCAACTCAAGCACGATTGTCAGAAAGGATTACAAAAGGGCGATTGAAGACGTCTGCTAGAAATATATCCAATGGTGATGTCATACAAAGTTATATCTTTAAAAAAGCGCTTATCTGCACAAAGGTTTTCACCAATTTATATGTCCGTTAACTGTGCCCCCCACGTGAGAAGATGTGTATGTCACATATTTTAAATGAATGCGCTAGTTATGCGTCATCTGCGCGATAATATCTTGGCCATTATCGTTTTAGAAATCGAAAAAACATGGGGGGGGGGGGGGTGACGTAGCCCCCCCAGTCGTGAATTTGGCCTGTAACTAGTCCTCTGATACTCTTGGTTTTCGCTCAATTGCGCCACTCGTGAATTAAAGTAGCGCCATTACGGTTAAAGCTGACAATTTTGAAAAAGTGGGGGGGGTGGCCAATGAACGTTTTTTAAATTATTCTTTTTTAACATATTTTCATTCGAAAATTGTTACTCTCAGGTAAGTTGAAAGCGCGTAAAAGATATCTTTTGCGCCTTTTGTTTTTTTGGTTATCCTTAAATATATTGGGGGGGGGGGAGGGCCAAATGAACGGAATCATGAACGCATTTTGACTATCCCTGGTATTGTCACTTGTGCATACTGGTTATGAGCTCAATACGCCACTGGAATTAAAGTCTAGCGCATTACGGTTAAAGCCATAAAAAATTTTTAAAAAGAGGGGGGGGGGAGCTAACAACGTTCAGAAAGTTAGTTTTTAACACTTTTTTTCTACTAGATGGTACTTTCAATCATGCGTAAATGCGCCGTAAACAAAAATCTGGGGGGCCGCATTATAGTGTTTCAGAACACTTTATACAGGGTGTTTTTTTGTGAGCTTAGTTAAAACGATCTGAGAAAGAAAATAGGTAAGTTATTTGTATTATTACTCCCGAAAGGCCGAATCGATGATAAAATATTTCAAAATTGACGCATTCCGGAAATAATTTGAAACCGCTAAGTTAGACCTCCACTTTTAAATTATTTTATGGCTTTAGACGATTAAAGTGGCCTAGCTTAATTCAAGTGGCGCAATTGAGCTATAACCAATGTAGCAAGTGGCACAAATACCGGTAAATCGTTCATGGGGATATTCCGTTCACTTGCCACCCCCCCCCAAATATATTTAAGGATAACCAAAAAACAATAATGGCGCAAAGATATCTTTTTACGGCGCATTTCAGCGCATACCTGAGAGTACAATTTCGTATGAAAAGATGTTAAAAAAAAGTAACTTTTAAAAACGTTAAGTTGGCCCCCCCACTTTTTGAAAATTTGTCACGGCTTAACCGCAATGGCGCTAGCTTTAATTCAAGTGGCGCAATTGAGCGCATAACCAAATGTATCAGGTGACCTAGTTACAAGGGACAAAATACGTACTGGGGGGAGGGGGGCTACGTTCACTTGCCCCCCCCCCCTCCAAATGTTTTTTCGGATTTCTAAAAAACGATAATGGTGCAAGAGTTATTATCGGTGGCGCATATGAGCGCATAACGAGCGCATTCATTTCAAAATAATACGACTATGAAATCTCTCAGTGGGGGGGCCAAGTTAACGGACCTGTTTTTAATATACTCATGGCGATCGTAGAATGCCTATGTACACCTCTCCACGTATTTCTATGGCGGAGGTAGTGTGGGCCCTGCCCCTACTAAAACACTTCACCCTTAATAAGTCCCAACGTCGCGTGTGTCACCTTTGGTATTCTTCCGCTTGTCGGGGGTGCGCTGTTATTGTGCTCGTCTCTCTCTCGTTCGAGTTACATGCGCGATGAACTCGTCGATCGCCCCTCTCCAAGGATGCGTAAACAAGAATTGACGGAGACGTAAAGAAGCCGCGAAGATGCCTCGAAGGGGGCATGAGCAAGGTATAAAGAAGAAGTGAACAACGCTAGGACTCGGCAAGATGGTTCTAAGGTTGGGTTGGGATATGCTCCTCCAAGAAACAATTGCTGCTAGACAAATCTTACTTCCGTCACCATCCTTCATCATTCATCCCCAAAAAGTCCTCCTAGCAAAATTTTTTTTAAACAATTCTTCCACGAAATACTCGCCTTGAAGAAGACGCGCTCAAAAAATATTCACCGCTTGAATATTCGCTCCAGGAGTAATCCCTCGCTAAACCTCCCGCTTCCATAAAGTTTTCAATCTGATGCTTGGTATCTCTCGGAATATTCATCCCCCAAGAGAACGTGTCCTACTCGTCACCAGGAAAACTCACGGGTAAGTAAAGGATTCTCGTCCGACTCGTAAGAGACCCCTGTTGAATTCTTAAGTGCACCCTTGAAAGAGAGTTCCATGGGATCACTATGAATAGAAGTATTTTGGAGCAACTCGAAGGAGATTCTCATAGTTTATGGGAGATAAATGAAAATGGTGAAGGATTCCCAGAAAATCCTTGATTGATTCTTGTTAGCTCATTGAGCGATCATTAAGAGATTCCTGTATAATTTTGTAAATATTCAGTGAATTTTTGGAAGATTTTTTGAAGATTCCTAGGGAATGCCGAGTTTTTGATTAATTCTTCATAGATTATAGAGGGATTGTTTAGAGATCCTTGAAGAATCACTAAAAAATCTTGGAGAGGTTCATGTGCTGCAATCTCTTAAGGTACGATATTTGTACGAGTGGCGGGTCGGTCCTGCACTGGGATGCAGGGTCGATATCGGTGCCCTTCAGATACCGAGCGACCTCCTAGTAGCTGGGTCAAGGTCGTTGACTCGGGGCGGCAACCCGACGTATGGAACCAAGCGTCTCAGATCGGAGGGAAGCACTCCAGGATCTGGCTCAGGGCAGTCTGAGAAGAAGCCTAGAGGTTCTGGAGCACCCAAAGTTGTGGGTGTAGCACGAACCAATGGGCAAGTCACTGCGGCGGGGCTCAGGGTGGCCACGGTTCCGGTGTGGCACCCGGAGGTGGACATTACCGAGCCTCAGTCGAGGTGCATTACAGCTGCGGTTGTTGACGAGGTCGAAAGACCTTTCTTGGGATTCTGCTGGAATCCGCAAGGTGCCATTGTGGCCGAATGCCAGTAGACCTTGGACTGGTTAGAGAAGACCGACCCTGGGATAGCGCGTCTCTGAAAATTCAGGCGCACGTCCCTAGGGTAACCAAGGTGTTGGCTGTGTTATACAGGTCCCGGATGACCCGGCCTCTTGATTTCGGGACGAACCCATGGAGAACGTTCTTCCGGAGGTAGGAGCCTGGTAGGGTCTCCTTTATGGAGAGAAACGGGCTCTGAACCTAGCTGCCTTTGGTGTGACTAAGTGCTGTCTGGGCGGGCTTCCCTCTGAATAGACTGGTAACGAGATCCTTGAATTATTTCAAGAACTTAATCGGAATTCTTTTTAATTCTAATGAGGTTTTTGAGGCCCTGAAGGTTTCCTTTGGTTTTTACTGCAGAAAATCTGCTCCAAACAACAGGAAAAGAACTCGTATTCCCGAAAAAATTGAACAAAAGGCGTTGTAACAATTTTAAAAGTATCCAATACGGCGGTGGGCATTTTCTTTTTGTAAAAAAACGAGAGAGATCACGTCGAAAGATTATTTGAGTCATCTCCGTTCTGATTCACTTTAAAATTAGTGCACTACACTAAACACATACGAATGCTGCTTGTTGCCTAAACAACGATTTTCGAAGCACGAAACTCGTCGTCAGCAGGCGCCACCTATGGGAAAAGTTGCAGCATTTAAAAATAGTACCGCGCCAAAACGAGTTTCGCATTATACTCTCTTAATGATTCGTTGCAATTAGGTCAGCAGGTGACTTGGAGTACTGCCAGGTGCTTTTACATCCGTATAATTTCAAAAACGAAAGTCGATACAAATGGAGATAAAGAAAGCGTAAACCTTTAGCCAACTAAAAATAAAAGTAGTGGGGACGCCAACGGTTATAACCTTCTTTCAAAATCGGCCTCCGTTTTGGATTTAATTTGCTTGTTTTTAACAGTTCATTTCGTAGATGAGGTGGTGAGTGGCCAATTTGAATGCTTCGCTTTTGTAACGTTTAACAGGTGGTTGCGCTATTAGATAATATTTGGGAATTTTGTTTATACCTTACCGCTTTGCCGAGCTTTGGCATTGATAGAAATACAATTTGTTTACTAGAAGTTTAGACGAAGACCTCAGGTAAGGAAAATCCTCGCCTTGGCAGTGATCCAAAACATGTTAACAAACTATTTTCAAAGAACTGCCCCGTCTAGCTTTCAGTTTAAATAAACACGCACGACAGGAACGCCACCTGGTGGCAGTCTCCGTATCGGTGCGCTATCGATGTAGGTACAAATAAATCATAGCGTCTATAGAAACAGGTGCAAAATTAGAATCTAATTACGCCAAAGAGAATGTTTCGATTTTATTTTTATTGCACCAATCAAAATGTAATTTATAAAGCGATTTTGACGCGAAACGCTCGTTTTTTTCTTTGTCTTCGGTTTAAAAATAAAAGGGTTTTTGGCTCCTTTCATCTTGGCATCGCAACTTAATTTTCGAAGAAACGACAATTAGCTCCGTTTTTACTTAATGACGAGCTAATTTCAGTTGTAGGTGCGAAAGGTGACAGGTTAACGAACTTTGATCGGTCGCGAACAGTAAACGGTAATTGAACACATTTGCGTTGTGCTATTCTTGATCAACTGAACTCGCCGCCATTTCGTTCACGTTTAAGTTTCTCCTTGGTTACCATGACGAAACCATTCATCACGTTAAAATCTACCATCGATCATAGAAGCACATACTCAACAGAAGAGCACCCCTTCTCGTATTGCTCACGCACAGCCCTTCAGCGAGAGAAGCAACATGATACAGCACAGAATCGGAACTGCACGAGGAATATCCTCCACGGTTAGTCGACACATACAGAGCAACATCGTACTTATAATATTGTTGTGTAAAGTAGGCCATGCGGTATTAGTAATCACGATAGAACACCCTGTATGTGCATTTCAATTACGTTTAACGTTAATAGTTGGTCGCATGGCACAAGTATTGGTTAAATTTGAGGTCAGGTCTATTTTTGTTTTGTATCAGAATTGTTATTGTTAATTTTGTTTAAATAACCACCTTGTATTTGATTATACACGTCTGGAAATAATTGCGCAGGTTTTGTCAAAATTTATCTCCGGTCGTCTTGTTTTCGCGGAGTAAAGCTAATTAGTTTCAAGATAAGAAAACACAGGTGCAGTTTATCATTCAAGAATGCATTAGTTGGTTAAGAAAGTGGAGACGAAAGTTGAAAAGAAAGATTTGAATAGAAGAGTCAGACGCTAATCGTTTGGTTTATTGGACGCTTGAAAGTCGTTTATTGTTTTGTGTGTATTTGGCAGTTTTGCCGTTATCGAAGCTTTTTGAAAAGACAGTCAGTCTTGCATCATTGTAAAGTTTTGTAGAAGAAAAAAGTGTTTAATGAGATTTATATCGTCTTGATAAGAGTGAATGCTTTACGTCGCCTTAAAGAAGGGTAGTTAGTTACTTCTCAGAACCCGTTAAAGAGATTTTTTTCATCAACAAAGGGCCAAATTTTACATCGGTAACTACAACGAACCCAGTGTTTGAAAATCGCAGTATGGCCGGATATCAATAACCCTTTAAGGTTCTTCTGTTCTATCGATCGCTATGTTGCGTGGTATTTGTTGTGTTTTTGAAAATCACAGTTGACACTGCATTAGAGGTGAAGGTACAATTAATATAGTTCTAAACCGCTTTGCAAGGGGGCTAAAGGGCTGTAGAAAGGAAGATTTTGTATTATGGTAAAGTTTCAGATTGCCTTAGAGTACTTTCCAAACTCTTCAAAAAGTTTCAGGAAAGCACCTAAAGTACAAAAACGCATTCCAGCCTCTAGATGGGGTCCAGAGAATCTTAAGAAGCTTTGTAAAGAGCATGAAAAAGCTTCCATATGGGTCTCTAACCCTCTAAATAAATATTTTTTGATTTTTGCAGTAATCGTTTCGGTTTTACTGACTCACCCTCTACAATTCTTGCGTGCGGTGCGCCATTCTTCTATAACGATTATTTGAAAAATGTAAATCGAGTGGGTAAACGTCTTGCAATAAACACGCCGAAGATATTCCCCCTATTATAATAAAAGGAATACAATCAGGGGCATAGGTGCGCCGCCTCACCTCGCCCTGTCACTGCCCTTACTCGATAACGCTTCAGTTTCGGTAGTTTTGCCTTAGTAGCAGGACGAGGCGAGACGGCGGCGCAGACGCCGAATCCGGATCTATGTGCCTATGTCCCTTATTGTATTAAAAGGAATGCAATAAGGAACATAGCTTGGGTTTTGATGGCTGCGTCGTCTCGCCTCGGCCTATTACTAATCTTCCTAGATAGCGCGACAGTCTTGGCAACTTTGCCGTAGTAATCGGGCGAGGCGAGGCGGCCCAGCCGCTCGTTATATTAATATGTGATACGAGACGTCTCTTTCTGAATTGAAAGGAATACAATATAGACAGCTCCTTCTTCGGCGGGTGCGCACATCCCCTCCTTTTACCACCCTTCCTAGGTAACGCTTCATTTTCGGCAGCTTTGTCATAGTAACAGGGCGAGACGAGGCGGCGCAGCCGCCGAAGCCGAAGCTATGTCCCTTATTGTATTAATGCGCGAGCTGAAACGTCCTAGCCACCGAAGCCGAAGCTATATATGTCTGTAGTAACAAGGCGATGCGACGCAGTCTCCGAATCCGTAAGAATATCCTTCATTGTATTCCCTTTAATACAATTAGCTTTAGGACCGGCGGGTGGGACGCCTTATATTGAACATTAATACAACAAGGACATAGCTTCGGCTTCGGCGGCTGCGTCGCCTCTCCTCGCCCAGTTACTACGGCAAAACTGCCGAAACTGAAGCGTTATGTAGAAGGGGTAGTTACAGGGCGAGGCGAGGCGGCGCAGCTGTGTTCCTGCTGCATCAATGTACAATGTGACGGCGCCATGACACCCAATTTCTACTCTTACTTAGGGTGTAATAGGAAGTTTATGTTTCTTTAAGTTTGATCTTATATTTTGCTAAGTTGGCTGTCTGATTTTGAACTATTTTAAACAAAACCTTATGTTCGACCCTAACCCTACAGTAGCTACAATCGTACCTATTATTATTCCTCCAGGAATTAAAATGGTTTTTTGTTGGGATGTGATTTTAGTCTCCGCCATTGTAAGATACGTAGGTAAAAGTAAAACAAAACAAAGTCACGGATAAAAAATGTAAACAGTGTACCAAAACACAAAATTGAGGTTAAAACAACGTACGACTTTCTGAATAACAAAGCGCGCACTGTCGCTATCCCTTCTATTTCGACGTTGAAATCGTAATTTCAACCACTCTAGTCTAGTTGAATTTATTTTCAACGGTAGAGAAGTTATGACGTTTCAATGACGTATATTAGTAGTTCATGATAACACCGATAGATGGTTACGATCGCAATTTCGACGCAACTACTGAAATTTCAACCGTCGAAATCAGTTAGAATCGGCCCCCTGGTCTGTGTCATAGAGATAGTCTTTGTCTGGGTGAAGAATGCCCTCGATTAGTCTGAACACAGCCTGAAATGTGATTTAAAGGTTTTTGAAAGTCACAGTGTAATACCTGTAATAGCGGTGTCTAAATAGTTCTGGGAAGTGTCTAAACAGCGCTGAAAAGGCTGTGGCAAGGAGTTGTGAAGCCAAGGTCCTTTTCTGGAAATCAGATTGCCTTATAGTGCTTTCCACAGCTCTTTAGGTGTTCAAGCAGTTTCAGGAAGTACTAAAATATCGACGGCTTTCCATTTCTCTAGAAGGGGGGTCCAGAAAGCGCTGGAAAACCCTGAAAAAAGTATTTAACGCTCTGGAAGACATCGTTTCGGTTCTATAGACTCACCCTGTACAATGTTTACTTGCGCCATGTTTGATTTACCCCTAACGATTATTTGAAAAATGTAAATCGAGTGGGTAAACGTTTAGCAATAAACATTCGTCAAAATTTCAAAATTCGCAGTAAAAATTGACAAATTCAACTAAAAAAATTCATTTAAACAATTTAGGCGATCGCAACTTTTGGAAAGAATTTGAATTCTGGAAGTGGAAGTAACTTCATGGCAGTTTAAAAGATGGCGGACCTATCGATTAAAATTGCACAAAACCGTAAGAAACACAAAAACTACCCTTAATTACCCTTACTTAATTTCCCATTCGCCTTTTATTTGCAATTATCGCATGCTACCCCTTCATTTTAAGCTTCATTGTGCGCAAACTGCGGCGCTTATTCGCGAAGGTGTTTTGAGGTGCGAGCGATTTAAATTTGTGCCGCGGCAAGTGCGACGAGGGGGCCCTTACGCAAACGACTCCCGCACCTCGAAATGACAATTTCACGCCGATTTAACCCCGTAATTGTTTAACAATTATCGTTCATTGTTATAAAATCAATAAGTTCGGGGCGTACTCGGCCTATCAAGGGCAACTTTAATAGGTCTATCGCACATGCGTCCAATCAGCTGATTTTTGTCATTCTCGCTAACCCCCCATTTTTATGCAATCTGCTCATGGGGCATTCCAGTAAAGTGCGTGCGTTTTCTTTAGGAAGAGAAGCGTAAGTTGGGAGGGGGCCTTCGAGTCGACCGACCAAAACAATAACATCACAATGACGTCCGAGGATCTCCTCCAGCCGGGGCACGTCGTCAAGGAACGATGGAAGGTAAGCGGACGAGCCTTACCGAGAGGCATACGCTCAACTTGTCAACTTTTAGGTTATAAAGAAGATCGGCGGAGGTGGCTTCGGTGAGATCTACGAGGGGTTAGATCTCTTGACGCGCGAGCAGGTGGCGCTTAAAGTGGAGTCGGCTCGACAACCGAAGCAGGTGTTAAAGATGGAGGTTGCCGTACTGAAGAAGCTGCAAGGCAAAGACCACGTGTGTCGGTGAGTATTGAGTGAACGTTTAAGAAACTGCATTTTTTGAGTAAACGCAAGAGTAAAAGTGTGCAAATGTGTATGCCACGTTAAAAATACGTAAGTACAGAGAAGTTAGCGTTAGTTAAAGTAAACAGGTCCATGAAGGGTGCAATCGGGATTCATATAACCCAAGAGGACCCCCCTAAAAACAATGAAACGAAAAAATTAACGTGGATACAGGTGATTCAAACACTTTTCGTATTGGTATCAGCAACGTATTGGAAACACATGACATGCTGAATGTTTGACATTGTTCAGAAATGGAAATAAATTTTCAAAATGTAGGTATGCATTTGTGAAAAAAATATAACCAGAGCCATCTAGACATTTTTTGTTAAACTTCAAAAATGTTGGGAATGTGTCAAGAATTTTGAAATGACATTTATAAAAATATTGAAAATGAAGCATTTTGAAAATTTGGAAGTGCAGACATTTTGCTGCAACTCTGGAAATATTTCTGTACAAGATAATAATATAATATAATAATATACAAATGTTGGAAAAGTGTGGGAAAATTTGAAAATGTTCATGGAAGTTTGGATATACATACTACACTACAGTACACATGATACTACAGAGAATGTTTCAAACATTTTTGTTGGAAATTTGTGCGAAATTATACACGGTGTCCATTTTTCGAGTGCCACTATGGGGATCTCACTTATTAAGACATAGAAAGTTGCTTAAATGGGGGCAAAGTTGCCAATGTTCGTGCTGAATAAGAATCTGAAAAGAAATTTTAAATATCTTCAATAGTTTTGAAGATATCGCAAAAAAAAACGATATTTCTGATTTTCGTTTTTAATTTCTTTTGGATAAACTAATCGTAGTAGACATTTCTAATTGACACATTACTCGGACACTTTTTAATGGAGATTTCAAATCATCCTGTTTTTAATAACTTTCAATATAACGGAGAAACACGTGGCGACTTTAGTTTTTCTTATGGGCGCCATTTTGAATTTTCACATTTTGAGATTACGTCTTTTTTTCTCTTTACAACGATATGTCACACATGGTGGTTCATTTTTCCTAAAAATACAATTTTTAATTTTTTGATAAGAGTGCTTCTCTGACAATGCTGTAACCAGACAGATGGATCAAACTGTCAACTTTTGTTTACAACAAAAGAACGTTTTGTTTTTCCAAAGCACTCTTCTCAAAAAATTTAAAACTTTATTTTCAGAAATAATGTGATACTGAACCACCATGTGTGTTATATTGTTGTAAAGAGAAAAAAGACGTAATCCCAAAATGTCAAAATTCAATATGGCGCCCATCAGAAAAAGTAAATTGTCACGTGTTTCTCCGTCATCTTGAAAGTAATTAAAAATAAGATGCCATATTTAAAATCTCCATTAAAAGGTGTCCGAATAATGTGTCAATTAGAAATGTCTACAACGATTAGTTTATAAAAAAAAAAATTAAAAACGAAAATCAGAAATTTCCGTTTTTTTTTGCTATATCTTCAAAACTATTGAAGATATTTCAAATTTCTTTTCAGATTCTTATTCAGCACGAAAATTTGCAACTTCTCCCTCCATTACCTTCATACAATTCGATGACTTTCTTGTCTACAGTGTTGCCTAGTGTCGTCTCATTTTAATTTCGCGCTTTATTTCCTTGGTTATTCAACGGCTTGGGGGGGGGGGGGTATCGAGACATCGAAATTGGCACACAAAAACATACACATTTGCTCTCCCCGATATATATTATTAATTATTATTATTATTACATTTTTTATTTATATACTTTTTAATGCCTGCATTTTATTTATGAATGTTTTTTGTTTTTCTTTTAACTAACGTTTAAAATGTCATATTATGTAAAGAATAAATTATTATTATTTTTTTTAATTCTTATTAGCAGGGGCGGACTGGCCCGAGGGGGCGGGTGGCGATTGCCACCTGGCCTGTAGATCATAATGGCCCGTTGGAATTTTATAAGTATGTGCTGTATTTAGTTTCTTGCACTATTAATAAATTATTAACACGTTTCTCTAATTGGGGTTGATGTTAGGTTGTTAAAAAATTTTGTAGCCCAATCTTGGAACTGTTTGAAATTATGGATTCTACAGGCTACATTCTATAAGAATTTTTTTTTCCTGGTCGATCTGAGACAATTTTTCTTCGAGGCTCAAAAAAAGGCAGTGTATAACCTTCCTTTTTTACCAAAGTTCGACTAGACCAAAATTTCTCGGGAAAACACTTTTTCTTATTAATTTGGGTGCGTAGAATCCAAATCAATTCGTACTTTTTCGATCAGACTTCTCAATCAAAAGTTATAGACTAGAAACAAATTTCGAAAAAAAATTCAAAGGGCTGTAACTTTTGAACTAGTAGCCCAATCTTGGAACTGTTTGAAATTATGGATTCTACAGGCCAATTCTATAAGAAAATTTTTTTCCGGGTCGATCTGAGACAATTTTTTTTTGGGGCTCAAAAAAAGGCAGTGTATAACCAGTGGCGGCCTGGGGGGGGGGGGGGGCGGGTGGCGATTGCCACCTGGCCCGTTGGAAATTTATAAGTATGTGCTGTATTTAGTTTCTTGCACTATTAATAAATTATTAACACGTTTCTTTAATGGGGTTGATGTTAGGTTGTTAAAAAATTCTGTTTTAATTGAAGTGAATGAATGAATTTATCATTTTTTGTCGTAGCATGAAAGTGCCGAAATACAAGGATAGGCGACGCGCCTCGTTTGGATTGTATATTTTGTTATTTTTAATTATCAGCTGCAATTTAAAAAAAAACTGTATGGTAATTGATTTTCGAGAAAGGAGTACTTTAAAATGTTTTTGTGGCCTCTGTAACCTATGCAATTCCACCTGGCCCGTAAGTACCCAGTCCGCCCCTGCTTATTAGTATCTCCACATGGACATTTTTGAGAACTCAGATCATTGAATGCCCATGCAGCGATGGTCAAGATTCGTTTTCGGGTGTTATATTTCTTGTGCAATGTTTATAGTCTCGTAAGTATTATTATTATTATTATTATTATTTTTATTCTTATTTGAACAGCTATGTTTCAAAGAAGCTTTAGTTATAGTTCTGTGGAATATCGTGGAAATAATTTACAAAAAAACATTTAAAGGCATATCTTCTCAATCATAATCATAATTTGGGATGGTTCCTGCAGGTGTATAATGCTGTGCTTTTTTTGTATTTTTTTTTGTATTTTATTATCATTTGTTTATCTTATGCATATTTAATTTGTGTACTTATTTCCATGCTTTCTGGTTAAATAGAATAGCCTTGAGCTAGATTTCGCCAGAGAACATGTTCAATAAAGACAATTTATTATTATTATTATTTTGCTTCGGATAAATTCATACAAATTGTACAGTATGTGTAGAGAGAAGGCTTACTATTCCGCTCGGATAAACGACCAGTATTGACAGATAAAAACCAGGTAAGCCTTAGTTGTTAGAAAATGTATAAAATTGTGGGTAGTGCCTGGAATACTAAGTTTAATGCAGAGAACGCTATGGAACTGCGCTTTATTGATTTTGGTTTTTTAAATGGAACATTTTAAAAAAAGGTTCAAAAACAATACAAAAAATGGAATTTTTTTAAAGGAAGTATAATATGCTATCTTTTTACATTAAAATCGAGATGAAAATATACAGGGTGTCTCATTTAAAGAAATGAGGTTACGTCCGGTAACTTTTTACTAGGCCCTGTATAATTATTTTGAAAACGGTAGATTATGCAATAATCAATACAAAGAAACTTTTGTAATAAACGCATTTCCAATAACTCAAAAACAAACGACTACGAGTTTTATTTCCCCAGAACTCCAAATTCCAAGAATATTAAAAAATTCAAATAATTCAAAAAATAATAATTCTGATAGTGTACAGGGTGTCCCATTAATAATGGTCACAGGCTATATCTATGGAACCGTTAATTGCACAGCTTCGGGAAAAAAAAATTGTTAACAAAAGGGGCCAAGAGAAATCGCTGGAAATTATTTTCAAGTTTCTAACTTCGCCGCTAGAGGGCGTATGATTCATGGTTAGGTAGAAAAATGACTTTTTCCCTAAAATATATCCAACAAACATGCATAAAAAATACATGCATAGTAATCTTGTATCAATTTTGCATCATTTTGATGGAGCACAAATTGCTCTAGCTCATAAAATATGAGGAGTGGGGAAGGGGAACATCTCTTTAAGGAATTGATTGTAACTTCGGATTAGGTTAACAGATTTTCACAAAATAGGTCTTGTTGGAAGGAGCTCTCTTCGCGGAATCAGATTTTATTAAATAGAGTCTTTTTAGTAAATGTGATGAGTGGTAGAGGGCGCGATGTGACATTAACATAAACTTTGCAGGTTTTTTTGGTAATTTCAAATGGAATGATAATATTATTATTATATGATATTATCAAATAAGGTGAAATAGTGAGAATATCAGTGAAAACCGGATTTTGATATCTGTTTTCTAACCATAGATCTGGCGAAAATACGAATATATTCAAAAATTTTAATTGCAATATTGATGCTCATTCAAGTTGGCTTTGAAACAAAAGAAAACAGAACAAAAGAAAGTTTATCAGTCCTTTCATTAAACGTATTCGTGCGAACTATCACCACGATGGGTGCCCGGCACATTTCTTGGTAAGCGAGAGTCGAGGCGAGAGTGTTTGAATTTGAGTTATCCTGGCAAATGGATAGAAAGAGGAAGTATTTTTTCATGACCAGCTAGGTCACTCGACTTAACTTGCTTAGACTTAAATTTGTTTGAAAGGATAAAAGACGCACAGTTTTTCTAACAAGGCCAACTACAAGAAACGATATGGTGACGAGAATTAGAAATGTAATTCATAGTCATGGCTGGGATGGGCGAATCACTGTTTTTCACCTATCGATAAGTATCGGGTACGTACTATCGATATATTTTACTTATCGATATGCACGATAATTATCGAAATATCGATGGTTATCGATATATCGATAACTATCAAATTCGATGAACTCGAATATGTCGATAGTAAAGTTATCGAATATATCGATAGTTATCGATATATCGATAGATTTTTTTTATCGATGTATCGATAGTTATCGATATTTCGATAGTTTATCGATTTTCGATAGTTATCGATATTCGATATATCGATATATCGATAGTTATCGATATGTGAATACTATCGATAGGTATCGATATGTCGATAGTTATCGATATATCGATAGTTATCGCTAGGGATGGGCGATAACTGTTTTCATCTATCGATATAAGTATCGGGTACTTACCTATCGATATATTTTACTTATCGCTATGCCGATAATTATCGAAATATCGATGGTTATCGATACACCGATAACTATCGAAAGATCGATAATTGCCGCTATATCGATAAGTATCGGTATATCGATAGTTCTCGTTATGGCGATAGTTTTTAATATATAGGTACTTATCGATATAATATTACCGATCATTTTTTTGGAAGCGTGTCTAAAAACTGCATGAGTTTACTTTTATATTTTGGCGAAAGAGCCTGACAAGACAAGAGGGCTCTTTTAACAAGATATGAAAATGACCGAATGCAGTTCTTGCAACTTTAATGGAGTTACCATATTAACTATGCAATTATCGCAGGGCTCTTTTGCTTTCTACAATGCAATTACCGCTGTAATTAAGCGGTAATTGCACGTCTCATTTGAGAGAAATATTCGACGTATCGATAGTTATCGACAAGGATAGTTATCTTATCGAGTTTTATTAATAAAATCCATTTTCCGGTTTATTCTGGTGTAAAGTGACTATTAATAGTTACTCGACGTTTCTTTGCTACCTTTATCAAGAGTTTTTTGTTAGATTTCGTAAATGTCAATCAATTGAAACTGTATATTTAAATTTGAAGTGTTCTTAGCTTTTTCTGTTTTTTTGTGACTGGTCCTCTGTAACCATCAATCAGATACCGATACATAGGCCATGATTACACCCTTTGATTGTCTTCTTTATTTTATCTAAAGAGTAGCCATTTTGNAATGTAATTCATAGTCATGGCTGAAGTTAAAGCAACTGTTCTCTCTACACAGCAGAGACTCGTCTTTGTGTCGAAAATAATGGCAGACATTGAACATTTACGTTAATAATAATAATTATTTCTTTTATTATTTACTTAATTCATATTTCTCTGATTTAAAGTTTGAATCATTTTTTTGTTGCTCATAATTAAAAAACTTAGATTGAGTGTTAATTTTGAACTGCCATCGCCTCATTCACTTTGACATAATTATCGGTTGCTATGTGTTCATTTGTTTCAAATCCAATTTGGATGAATATAAATATTGCAATTAAAATTTGTGAATGTTCGTATTTTCCCCATATCTCTGCTTAGAAAACAGATATCAAAATGCGGTTTTCACTGATATTCTCACTTTTTCATCTTATTTGATAATATAATATAATAATTATATCGTTCCATTTGAAATTTTAAAAAAAAACTTGCAAAGTTTATGTTAATGTCACATCGGGCCCTCTACCACTCATCACGTTTACTAAATAGACTCTCTTCATGTAAAATCTGATTCCACGAAGAGAGCTCTTTCCAACAAGACCTATTTTGTGAAAATCTGTTAACCTAATCCGAAGTTACAATCAATTCCTTAAAGAGATGTTCCCCTTCCCCCACTCCTCATATTTTATGAGCTAGAGCAATTTGCGCTCCATCAAAATGATGCAAAATTGATACAGATTACTATGCATGTATTTTTTATGCATGTTTGTTGGGTATATTTTAGGAAAAAAGTCATTTGTCTACTTAACCATGAATCGTACGCCCTCTAGCGGCGAAGTTACAAACTTGAAAATAATTTTCAGCGATTTATCTTGGCCCCTTTTTTTCCCTGTTGAGGGCCTAGAACAAGAGGGACAATAAATAAATAAATTAATTAATTAATGGGACACCTTGTACACCAAAATTCAAAGTTGTTTACTCATAGAGAGAAGCAACTATAAATTCGCATACAAAGGTTCAAATTTAGAAAAACAGCATTTTCCAAAATCCGAAATTACAGCTAGTGTACGCAAAGGTTCAATTATATCCCCATCAAAGGACCAATTATCGAATTATGTAGGTGCACTCAGAGTTTGAGAAACATTTGAAGAACCGCGCAGAAAAATATGAAATGCTATCACCTTTGGAGGATTTCGAGCAATAAACAAATAAAAAACAGAAAAATCAAAACGTTCTAGCAAAGTCGACGAATGTATACAAAAATGGAGACCCATTTTCTTGTGAGTCCGGAATAGAACAAAATGAATTTTGGTACTATTTCGATTCTTTGGTAGGTACGTGAAAACAATAGGGTAACTTCTCCCCCCCCCCCTCCTTCCGGAAACTGTAGTGGTACTCAGCCCTCGGTTTCTCTTCTCTCCACGTAATTTTTTGTTACATTTCACGAATCCTAAATAGGGGGTGATTCAGTTTTCCAAGGTTGGACGACTCGAGGGGTAGTTTTAGATGTGTATAATTAAGGTAAAGTGTATTTGTATTCAATACGGGCCGTTTTATTTTAAGAATTTTGACCGGTGGGAAACAATGATCCTTTAAGTCGATCTTTACTCTCCGATATTGCGTTTATTTCGCGCCAAAAATATCGGTTTTAAGTGTCTCCGTTCAATGTGAGTAAATTATGATTATTGTTTCAGGTTTATCGGCTGCGGTCGCAACGATAGGTTCAATTATGTAGTAATGCAATTGCAGGGCAGAAATTTGGCCGAGCTCAGGCGAGCGCAGCCCAGATCCGCCTTTAGTCTTTCGACCACCTTACGTTTAGGATTACAAATACTTAAAGCGATAGAAAGTATTCATTCGGTCGGTTTCCTGCATCGTGATATTAAACCTAGTAATTTTTCAATGGGACGTCTGGCGTATAACTGTAGGAAAGTGTACATGTTAGATTTCGGACTGGCGCGGCAGTACACGACGTCGACGGGCGAGGTGCGTGCGCCGCGCGCCGCCGCCGGATTTCGCGGTACCGTCCGGTACGCCAGCATCAACGCGCATAGGAATAAAGGTAACGGGATTGTTTCGAGGTTTTTTTTTGTGTGGGATAACGCTAGCTGCTCGCAGAAATGGGTCGGCACGACGATTTGTGGAGTCTGTTTTATATGCTAGTCGAATTCGTGAATGGACAGTTGCCGTGGAGAAAGGTGAAGGATAAGGAGCAAGTCGGCTTGATGAAGGAGAAGTACGATCACAGGCTACTTCTGAAGCATTTGCCGTCCGATCTTAAACAATTTTTAGACCATATACAAATGCTGGAGTATGCGGATAAGCCCGACTATCAGGTAGGAAACAAAATTTGGTCTTCTGGTCTGCTAGTTTCGAAAAGTGTTTAGAGTGTGATGCTGATGGATTTTTTATTGCAGATGTTAATTAATTTATTTGAGCGATGTATGAAGAGAAGAGGCGTTAAAGACTCAGATCCTTACGATTGGGAGAAGGTTCCCGCCGGCGACAACGCCGCGATTAATCCGACTCCTCCGCTTCAACAGCCTACGGCACCGGCCAACCTGCCCAGGCATACGAAGCACACAACCGACAACAACCAGGAGAACATCGAACCGACTGATAACAAGGAGGTACGTACCGGTACGTTCATTTCAAACACTAACGTTTGGTGCAGGCACATTTAGAGGCGAGGCGGCGAAGAATAGAAACCGAAAATACCGCACCTTTAGTTACAGATACACAGACTAACGCGCCTAAGCCTACAGTCGATAAGAACTGTAATGCGACACCTGTCGAAGCGGTTCCATCGAGTCAGCGACGTCGTGCCACCTCTCATCTAGAGCAGACGCCGGAAAAGTTGGACAACGAGGGGGCGGCGTCGGCGCGTTCGGTCGCCGACGCGAACCAGAAGCCGGTACCTTTGCGGAAGAGTCAGTCGGGCGTCGCGACGCTCGGACGTCTGCGCGTCGTCACGCCGCCGCAGAGCGGCAGCGTGGTCGACTCGCCGGCGACGCCCGAGCAGGAGAGGCCGAGGCGGCGACAGCCGTCCGCGGCGCGCAGCTCGCGATCGGGCGTCCGCGACCAAAGCTTGACGCAGTTCGCCGTCATGGACGACGAGAACGTTAGCCAACAGGTAGGTGGCGAACGCGCGAGTTGCGAGGGTGTAAGGCACGGTTTCAGGTGACGAAGGGAGGAGCGTTGACGTTAGCGAGCCAGTGGAAGTCTCAGTTTGACGACAGCGAGGAGACGACGGACAACGAGTGGAAGCCGGAAAGTCCCGAGCACAAGGGGGTCGTCGGTGTCGTGTCGGAGGCCAATCCTCCGGTACCGCCGGTTTTGAGTAGGATCAGCGAGGACTCTCGGACCCGCAACAGTCAGAGGAAGCACGTCAACATTGCCGGAATCGAGGACTTCCCGGAGCTAATGGGTAAAGTTCTTAGATCGCCGTGTCACTTTTTTTGAGAGCACCCCGTAGCTTTCTTGCATGTTTTTTCATAATCGTGACTTGTGGAGAAGTGGCAAATCTTTGGTTGACTTCAAAAGGTATCATATTACTCCTTCCAGTTCCAATATTATCCTTGTTTGTATCCAGGTGCACGCGTACGGATTGAAAAGCACTTGATTTTTAGAGGGACAAATCCATTGGAGTATGTTTCAGGGGGTCTCCCGCGCGCATGGTCCACGCCAACTCTGGGCCCGTCGATACGTTCAGGTTTAAAACCTCCGCTCCTACAGCAGGCCGCCTTCGATGACTTAGTTTTCAAGGTCGATATGATGCGAAATGTCGGCTCGCGGCACCAGCAGGAATCCGTGGGTGATAATCAACTTCACAAATGGAGCAGCCTGCCGAGTAGCATTTTGGAGGGCTTCGGCGTTAGTACCAAAAAGGAGGAAGACGACGAGGACGAAGGAAACGAAGACGAAGGTCTGCAGGAGGTAACCGGTACATCTTTCTTCGCACAGGTGGCGCTGATACTAGCCTTCGCAGGTTGCGGGTACGCTACAGATTCGAGTTGTGCCAAAAGAAATGGTTATAAAACCTCAACTTCCGGACGAAGCGGGCGATCGGATGCAAAACGGCGTATCGTCGGCCGAGAACCATAGCAATACGCAAATAATCATAAAGACGGAGTCTCCCCCGAAGCCAAAGGTTAAGTTGGAGCGGACGAAGAGTATACTAAAGCAGAGCAGCAAAGAGCGCGGAGACGCGCCCGAGTTGCACAGTCCGAAGAAGGAGCAGATTTCGTTCGCGCCCGACGAGAAGTACGACGTTAAACATAAGACTGAAAAACGGGTTAGTATTGAAAACGGTACAAAATTAGAGGACGACGTCTTCGAGAGGGAGAGTACGAGGAAGAAGTTGCGCAGTCCCAGTCCCGAAAAGAATCGCGAGTCTGAGGAAGACGACGAGGAGCAGAGTTGCGAGCATCGACTCCTGAAGGAAACGGATTCGCCGCTACGAGTCATTGAGAACAAAGTGATCAAGAAGATCAAGCAAAATTGTGTCGAGTCCAAGTCGGAAAGTAGCTCCAGCAAGGTCGCGTCCACCTCCGAAACTACAAAAAGTAACTTTGACTCGCGAACTGCCACAGTTAATCAAAAAAAGATAGTCGAAAAAGTGAAAGAGAGTAAGGGGGAGACGGTTGTGAATAATCGTAGGCAGTGCTCGCCATCGGTCGATGGCGTAACCGCTTCGGCGCTTAGCGTAGTGGAACGAAAGTCGCTCGCCAACGGCATAAGTCCCGGCATGGAGGAGCAGTCCGAGTACTTCGACGCGACCGAAAACATCAAGGATAAGCGGCCGGAGCAGGAGGACGATTACAGCGGCGTCGATAATGCTAGTCAAGTTTTGCGGGAGACCTCGGTAAATAGTCGATCGATCCGTTGCGCGCCGTCTAACCTGCCCGTTTTAGGTAAGCCCCGTACCCGATGGTAATAAGATTTCACGTATTCCTATAGCAGTAAGTGGCCAAAGGTTAGCGAAGTGCATGTCGTGGTCGTCGGGCGATTTCACTCCGGGCTTGCGTCGCCGCCGTCTGACCGATAAGTACGTCAACGATCCGAGCGAGCTGAATTTGAGGTTCAAGCGGCACTCGACGGCCGGAGGTAAGGGTTAGATCGAAACACACCAACAACAATGTGGGCGCCACATCTTTGAATATACTCCAAGGTCGGAACGGTGCTGCAATGTCGCGCGACACACACACATATATATATATATACATATGTATATGGAATAAACTCATTTGCGAGCTGCGACTTTTTCAAGTCGTTTTCGCACCACAAGTTATTCTTAATGAATGAATAAAAATTATTCGGTTTAAAGGACCACTTCGTGACCGCCAGAACAAGATCCAATCGTATTTGTTTGTGCAAATGTAAGTTTTTTTTTTATATCATCTTTGCTTGAGCTGCGCCTTTTTCAAGTCGAAATAGCTCGGTACAATTGTTTTCCTAGCACTGTATGGTATGGAATATCCCCCCCTCCCCAGTAAAGAAGATTGGATTCTCTTTTTCCAAAGGTTACCATGCATCGCATGCATCCTCATTTGGTGGGGGTAATGCTAGGACTTTGTTTTAAATGGCAATGATAGTGCCGTAGATGCTGGAGGGGGGGGGGGTATTTCATACTCCTCAGATCCTGGTGCTGTTATCTCTTAAAACGGTTAGCTCTCAGACCTTTTCCCACGTGACTCCTAGGGGGTAAAAGAGAAAGGAGTACCATTTTGGTGGGGGTAGTGGTAGGACTTTTTTGAAAATGGCAATGGCAGTGTCGTATATCGGGGGGTATCCCAGGTGCTATGTTATCTTTCATAGCCTCTTCTACTAAAAAGTACGGCAGATAACGTACCTCTAGGGGGGGACAGTCCATACCCCCCAGTAAACGAAGATTTCATTCTCTTTTTCCAAAGATTCCCATGAAAGGACTAGGGGTAAAAGAGGAAGGACTATCAAATACTTATTTGGTGGGGGTTACGGTAGGACTTTTTTGAAAATAGTGCCGTACATGCTGGGGGGGGGGGGGTTATGTCAGACCTGGTGCCATATTATCTCATAAGTCGGTTAGTTTCGGAGCCCATCACTTTTTGGGAAGATTGTCATACCCTCTTCTACTAAGAAGTACGGCACGTACCACGGGGGGGGGGGGGGGGGTCTGAGGTATTCCATACCCCCCAGTAAACGAAGATTATTTTCTCAGATTCCCACGATAGTTCTGGGGGTCAAAGGTAAAGGACTACCGAATCTTCATTTGGTGGGGGTAATGCTTTTAAAAATGGCAACGGTGGCGCCGTATATACCGGGTGATATTCCATACCCTGCACACTGTAACCGTACGGCTCGTTAGACCAGCGAACTTTGGGACTGAAGTGAACTCCAGTCGGAAAATTCCGTTACAGTACCCCCTTCGTTCTCTTTCATGAGTAAACCATCTGTAGTTTGGGTTAGGGACGTTTGACACATTTTACAGGGTAAATGTGTGCCAAAAAAGTTCTATAATTTAATCGCACGCTATAGAACATTTTTGCATATTTTGTTATATGCACCAATACGTAGTTTAAATATTATCTCTCCACTTGCCTTTGAATGTAAATGTAATAGACCACAACTGTATGTGGAAACTACCAATCTAATTGAACATATTCGTGCATATTTTGCCTGTTGATCAAGAAGCATATTTTATAGTGTAGTGTAGTGCACCATATATCATGTGAACTGAAACGCAACGGTTGTAAAAGTGAATTAGATCATATGCATATATTGGCATATTTTAGTTAAACAGTATTTGCAATGAGTTTTGGGATTATTTCACCTGAAACGTGTTAAAATATGCGCAATACACGAAGGTCGCTCATTTTTATTAAATTCTAGTGTTTCAGTAATGCATACCTTGGCATTTTTTTTATGTGCAGAAATAAGTATAGTTGACATTCTTACCTAAATGATTTACCATTGAAGCTTTAGCATATTCTGTACGTGTTAGTGGAACTGAATCAGGTATGTTTAAAGTAAACATATTTTATGGCGTATTTTTGCGTATTCGTCCCAATATGCTAAAATATGCGTCTTTGGCATTTTTATATATTGACCTTGGAGTATATCATGAGATGAGCGGTGCGTTTAACCTGCTCGTAACTAACCTGTGGCAAGTCTTAAAAACTCATTCTAACCCCGAACATTGGGCTTGTTATGGGTTACGCTTACACGCAAATCTTTTTATATAGCGATTTAAATTAAAGACATCTTGAAGGTGCTAAGGCGAGAGGTGTACCGACGTGTTTGATAGGGGCGGCCGAAAGTTCGCCCGACACGTCGGAGGGACCGCCGCCGCCGCCTCCACCTTCGGGCGAGCCGCTGCCCGAGAGCGAAGTGCGCTGCAGAAGGTACCGACCTGTCACGTAGTGGTTTTGCGGTTTTTTTAGTGTTTTTGACATTTCTCTTGATCTATAACATTGAATGGTGCTTTGTATTTTCATCGAAGGGGAGGAAGACACGCAAAAATTGTCCGTTTGTATGTAAAATATGAGCACCTCAAATTGTGATTAAGTAAAAGTATATTTTTGCCGCTCTCTATTATATTTTTCGTACGCAATTTATTTAGGGCGCAAAGTTTAGGGGTTAAGAGCAAATCTAAAGTAATTGTTGGGAGTCTCGACGTAATTTATTGTTGATATTGTGATTCGATTCTTGTGAATATTTTTTTACATAGTTCTGTTGTAGTTGTTTTTTTTTGTTATTTATTTTTTAATTTGTTCGTAGGAGAAAGGCGCGTTGTACATGAGACGTAGTTGTCGATTATTAGAGAGTTAGCTCAGATTAAAAAATTGCTTAAAACATTAGATTATCTAGAATGAAGTAGATTTTCGATTTTGTTTCGTTTTTAGGGGAAAAAAAATGTTTCACACCGAACGCTTTCGGTTCCGCTCTCAGTTCATCCAAATTAAAGCCATGGCTTGTTACTCGTATAAAGAAACATATATCTCATTTCTCTCTGGGGTAACCGTTTAGTCTAATTAGAATTTGTTGGATCTTTCAAATTGCACCTGAAATATTCGAGTCGTTTGTTTCTAAGTCGAAAATGTATATTATATATAATGCTTTTATATAGATATTCTTTATGATATTAAGAAAGTTTATTGTTATTTTCGATTGTCGTGTACATCTCATAGATCTTTTTATTTTGTTTTACACATTTTATTGTTTTTATGAAGATATTGCTATATGATTTGTAAATTGTAGTTATTAAATTATTAACAATTTCAGGTAAGTTATTTTACTAAAATTAAAAACTATATGGCTTGAAGGACCAATTTCTGATTTGTATTATGACGTCATCACTAAGTGTGTTTACATAGCATCATGCAATCAATGGAGGAGAATACGCCAGAGAAGTCGAGAAGCGACTGCAATCTTGACTTACTCCACACTCACGTGCAGAGTCACCGTTCCTTTCATGTCAAAACAACAGACATTTCGCGGCACCTTTGAATCGGTCGGTGTCAACTCGCGGTTCTGTTAATACACAAACGTGAAAGGAAATTGAATAAAACTCCTAATTTTGTGTGGAAGAAAAGACATAATATACATATTACGCACTAGGCGATGTCAGGGAAACCTTCTTAAGGACAAAAACCCTGGACAAAGCATTTCAAATTGTGCAACAATAAAAATCAAGAACGTCATATTTTTTCAAGAACATTAACGTGCATCGTTCCAGCTGGTTGTTTCGCCTAGCTTGTTCGACGGTTTTCCTGTTTTCGTCCTGATCCACAACCTTGGACCACCATTATTCCGTTCTCATCCAAATAACAAGTAAGATTAGAAATAAGTTGCTTACTTTTTCTTGGTAAACCTGATGGCATCCAGAAAATCATCACTAGTTGAAAAAATTTGATGAGAGAACCGTGTAGTAGACGTGAAGAAATTCTAAGAACACGTGTTGTACGAAGGAGGAGGAAAAGGGGAGAGGGATCAAGTAGTTATTTAGTGTATGAACAAAATGAACTTTGTCTTGTGAGGGTATTACCTCCAAAATTCGGCCATAGCAATAAATTACACTTGTTATTGATTGTTCATTACAGGACTCAAATCTGGTTTTGTCCGGACTGTTTATCCAACGATAGGTCAAAGATTATCAATGCTCTGTGCTTTGAATAGCCACAATGTTAACCACATGACTTATTTTTGTTCACTTTATAAGATGTTTACCATCCCGTTATTCTCAAAACTATATAATTACATTCTGTTATTACTACATTTCTCTATAAATTTTCCATTACGTTGTAGCTGCGATTGAATACGCCACTGGTGGAGGTGCGCCTAAAACTAAACTGTAAGGCTTTCGTGAACAAGATTCAGGCTGAGCTTTTGACGAAACATTCGCATTCGCTAAATACTCGTTTCGTAGCCGTAAGCGAAAATGAAACCAATTGCGCAGTTCAAATGTAGAGAAACAAACAGAGAAGCGGCAAACAAGTCAATGAATGAAACCTCAACTTCGTAGTACGAAGATAAGATAACTCCTCCTTAATTATCTTGCTTTCACGCCCGTCGCTCAAGCAACCCAAAGATAAAGGTTTAAGTGTGCATCGTGCTATCGTGTGCGCTGGTTCTAGATTTCATATATCAATTCGATCTTTTCAAGTCGTTCTAAAAATGGGAGTGACTCAATTACAGGTGAGATGAGAACTTGGCCCTTAGTTGTATTTGTCCTGAACTTTCATAAAGGTATAGATTTAATTGTAATAAAAATTACGAGTTTAATAAACTGCCCATGATGTTTTTTTTATCACGCTGCATGTATAATTATTTTGGAATGTGAATTACTTATCTTATCATGTTATCACTGTTTACCAGAAAGACAATGTAGGCGTGTCGGTTGCTATCTCTGTTTTTCGAAACGTTTCTCTAAATATTTGGGCGAGGTTGTTTTACCGATTTCTCTAAGAAGTACATGAAACGGGGGGGGGGGGTCTCAAGTCCAGTAGTAAAAGTCCAAGTCCATGAAAGTACTGAGGTATATAATCCCCCCCCCCCCCACTGCTATTAAAATTGGATCAGGATCACAGACACAGTACCGGTTAAAATTCCGAATTATGCTCCTGATACAATTTTTTTAACGGTATCAGGAGCATTCGCTTTAAAGCTGTTGTATCAAGATCATAGAAACGGTTAGAACATTCATTATAACAATAATGAAACCTCCTTAAGATCTGTGTCCGGATAACACGTCATTAAAATTGTTGTATCAGGAGCACTTAAACGCAGTAAGATATAAAATTTAGTAACAAATACCTTCTCTCCCATTTTGCATTGTCCTGATACAAACTCAGGCTCACAGAAGCACAGTAAGAAGGAAAATTATTTTCTCCCATTTTTACGCTCCTAATAAAACTCTTCCTAAAATTGTACCAGAATTTAAAATTATTTTGTCGAGATAACAGGAACACGATAAGATAAACCTATCCGTTTGTTCCTAATTCAAACGTTCTAAACATTGCATCAGAGTCACAGAAACATAGTAAGAAGGAAACGAAACATCTGTCCCTCTTCAAAAATTTTATCAGGAGCATTCGTTCTGAAATTATTGAATCGTTATTCCAAAAACACAGTAACATGCAACATTTTTTCTCATTTATCTTCTCTAGCATTATGTGCTCCTGATACATATCTCTTACAAATTGTGTCAAGAGAACACGTTTTTAATTATTTTGCCAGGGTCACAGTATGATATAAAAATTCTTGATTCTCTCACTGTGTGTGGTGCTCGTTTTAAATTGTTTATATTAGGCTCAGAGAAAAGACGCAATACTTCTTTAAAAGGGAATTGTGTTTAAAGTTATGGTACCAGGAGTACTGAAAAATGTAAAATTTATTAACAAATACATCCTTTGGCGTTCTGTTCTCCTAATGCAAACTTTTTTAATTAATTGCTTCCGAATCGCGCGTTTTAAATAACTGCATCAGGATAACAGAAACGTAAATAATTTGTAAAATAATAACAAAATCCGTCTATTTCATTGTAGTCACGAACAAAAGTTATATCAGTAACACCGAAGCACATTATTGTTGTGTGCTCCTGATGGAAACTTTTTTTAAAATACTACTACGTGAGCACTAGTGTTAAAAAACTATTGTATTGAGATCACAAAATCAGAGTAACGTGTAAAATAATTGTATCAGGATCACAGAAACAGATTCATTTGGTCTAAAATTATTGTATTATGGGGAATTTGTTGCCATATATCTCTTTCGAATTGTGTGCTCCTAATACAAACCTCTTTAAAATTTGTATAAAGGAGACTTTAAAATTATTGTATTACAGCTTTTGATATCAAGACCATTTTTTTAAACTCTTGTATTAGGGTAACAGAAATTTAACAAGACATTTATTAACTTTCGTATTGTGCTCCTAATACAAGCTTTTTTAAAATTCTAGTTTTGTTTAAAAACGTTGTACCGGGATGACAGAAACGCAATAAGAAGGAAAAACAAATAACTTCGATAAAAATTTTATCAGGAGCACAGGAGATATTTCCCAATTTTTTTGATCTCTTGTTCTCCTGTTGCATACATGTTCCACTGTTTTACAAAATAAATCAGCAAAGTGGCGACATTTTAGGTAGGTACCTACTACACCGAAAAATATTTGAGGAATTCCCTTATCTTATCGAGGTATATTAGGTTAATGGTTCGGTCCAATGGTCGATCCATCGCGGACAAACAACATTTTAAACAGTCGTCAGTTCCTGACTTGCTCAATTTCACTTTTTTTTTAATAGTTACTGTCACGGTGCAGAATTGCGGCAATTATTCTGTTTATCAGAAATACAACTCCTTATCGTAAATTGGGTTGTATTTTTAATTCCTGTCCGATTATCGTAAAAATTACAAACATTCCGCCTGGTAATAAGCAGATAAGAGTTATCCGCTAGCAATTTTACTGCGTCGTCCGTCAGAGGGATGAGATCTCTGCTGTGAGCCCTCGAAAATTTCTTTGATCCCTGTCTACAATTTGTCAATGTCGGGTCGTACGCAACTGAGCAACCGTGTCGAGTGCCCCGGCTATTCAAATAAGATGACATTGATGCACAGGATGTATTTGCTTGCATGCGCCGATAAAATAAATTATTGCCATATCTTTCACTTTATCCTCGAGTAGTATAGTAGATGAATTACATTGTGCGGGTACTTGCTGGTTGAGTAGGTAAAAGTGATTAATCAGTTTGAGTGTATTGTCTGACGTCAGACAAGATTGCAACATTTTAAAGGCGGGAAATTCAAACGGACTGCATTGATCTTTATAATGATTGTGAAATAATCTGCAATTTCAAAATAAGTATACAGGGTCCGGTAAAAAAGTTATCGGCTCTAACTATTCTTAGCTTTTAGTTTTATAACCACTTAACAGTAGCACAGAAAAGAAAAAGGAGTCATTGGGTTGAGGTGATCATTTTTCAAGGAGGGCATGTTTATTATTTTTTTATACGTTTTGAGAGACTCGGCAACAGAGAATTTAAGGGGCAGATAAAGTTCGAAGGCCTTACCTAAAGGATGATCACAAGAGCTCTGAAAGTTTAACAATTTGGTGGAGGGGGACTTTATTAATGCTGCAATATTGTTAGCGAGGGCGTCGCCCAAGGTTTATACCAGATATATGTGTTACCTACCCAATTCTTTATTCGATTTCTTCAGGATTGGGTCACAGAAGACCTATGTTGAAACATTCCATCAGTCGTTCACGAAACATTAAATTTGCTCTTATGAAGTAAAAAACTACTTCAACCGGATGGCCCCTCAGTTATTTCGCTTTATTATTCGCATCATATTTTGTCTTTTGTAGAATTGGTATCTGGGATATTCGATCCAGGAATTTGCGTGTCTCCAAGACACTCAAATCAAAATGTCAGGGAAATGCAAAAATTTCAAAATTTTTGAAGAGTTCAGGAAAATGGCTTGGTAATGCAACCTCCCTTACTTTAACGTTACTGCAAAGATTTTACAGAAATTTGGTCTTTTTATACTTCTACTTCAAAAATCTCATGGTTTATGTGGTATCTACGCTATAAGGTTTAGGAAGGAATGCAGAACCGGTGGTTATACCCCCCCCCCACCGTACACACGTTAGCCCCATTCTCATATACAGTAAAACAGCATGAGAGTATACTGAAGCTTGTATGGAATGGGTTATCGATTTTTTTGCTGGGGGTGGAATAGCCCCCAGACCTCCCGGTAACATTTTCTTCCACATAACGTTCAGCTCTGAGAAGTGTAATACCTGGGGGTGGGGGAGGAGGGTATAGCGAATACTCGCCAGTATACACTCGTATTAGCTATGGAAAAGGTTATTGAGTTTCTTTTTGGTGAGCACCCTAGAATGTTACTTTGCTGGGAGGTCCCCCCCTCTAGATCACCCCCCCCTTCCGTAACATTTAGCTCTGAGAAATATAATTTTCTTATCAATTTTAGTCTGTGAACACTGGGGGGTATTCCATACCCCCCCCCCAAGACCACCAGGTGACACGGTCTTACTCATGACATTCAGCCCTCTAAGGATTGTTGTAGTCGTTTTTCATAAGGGACTATAAAATCTTCCTTTCCTGATAAATATTCCATACTCGACGAGCTTCTAGTGTTCCTTTTTATAGTTCCATTTGAAAAATCATGTTTTATGTATGGTTTTTGAGCGTTTTGGGGAGGAATTACAACGTTTACCGTTCAATTCGTACAAGACTTCTTTATTAATTTAACCACAGATCCAGATCCAATTTCTAATTAATTAAAATCTTTCTGTTTCTGTATCTATTTAACAACCAAAAAACCAAAAGAAGAATTTCAAATTATTTCCAATCGTTAAACTTTCTGTTTTGCTTGAACGCTTTGATTTTTCTACGAGCACGACTTCGCACCACAAAACAAGGGCACTTCTTACTTATTACGTCACTGGGGAAATTCCCTTCACCAAGGCCTTTTTCGCCGAGGAAATCCCAGAGGACGACCCTGCGCCACAAAACAAGGTCACTCCTTATAGTTACGTCACGTCTCAGCAATTGTAGGTCCTTTCAAGATCTCTCTAGCTCTGGAAGTAGTTCAAAGGCTTTATAAAAGTGCCGTTTGGTTTAGTAGTCGTAGAAAGGGAGAAAGGGGAAAAGAACGTATCCAATCAGAGCTAGATAGTCCTTGAAAGGTATAGTCCCCTGACAATAAATTGAGAATGCTCCAGAAAATCGTTAGAAACCTATGAAAAGCACTTTCCAAATTCCACGGCATATTAAACTGCAATTGAAGGATTTTAACGCCTTTTCCGAGCCGCCGTTCAAAACCCTTCCATTCAAAAAATGATTAAGCGCCCACCAACTTTCCATGGTTCTGTGTCCACACACATTTGATTATTGGTTTGGGGTGACAATTTATATCGCGGGCAATGCCTGGACTTAGATCTGAGGCACTTGTAGATTACATCATACAAAAAAAAGGATTGTAATGAGGCTAACGTCATAATTAGATTGTTTGTTCGCACGGATTCATTTGCGATGATAATCGTATCGCATAAAAATACTTTATACGTAAATCGGGACACTTTCGCAACTTGCACAAATCAAGGAACTGAAAATGTGAAGGCCATTGGAAAGTATTTTCTATTCTCTCCCAGAGACTTCTGTCTGGTACTTTAGAATTTACTTTCATAGGACTACTTTGGCCGTTGGCATTTGTCCTTTTCCCTTCGATTGCCTTGAAAAACCTAGTAGCCGAATTTGAAAGATTTCCAAATTTAGAAACCTTTCGGCGAGTTGTCAGGAGACCCTTTCTAGGGCAAGCTAAGTATTCGTTTTAGGGAAAAACTTCGAAAGGGCCTAGAAAACGCGCGTAAGTATATGCTCGGTTAATGTTGTGTAACGCGTTTACTAAGTCAAGTACCCTTAGATCAAAGGTCATAGAACATGATTTTTGCTTAGATCTAAGCCCAGACGTTGACTGATAAACTGGTCTGAGTCATTTTTCGATTGGCTACCTAAATAAACGTGCGGAAATCCCAGGCAATTTGAAAAACTCGCTCGTAACGCCGCGCCGCCGCCAAGAGATGGCGCTGAAGCTCGAATTTCTAACGTGCGCCACTTATATCAACGTTTGACACGTCACACTCGATCATTCGATTTCCAGGTCGCTTTCAGTGCACGTCAGCTGATTGTTCTTAACTAAAACTTGTGATTTCACATTCCAAAGATTCCAACATCCAAATTACTGCTATTAACCCTTACAAAGATGACTCACTGGTCAATTCGCAAGGTAAGTGTCGTACCACCCCACACAATTACCAACCCCCCAAACCGAAGGGCGGCGTCCAGACGCCTGCGTCGCCCCATCGATTTCACCTACTCTTTTCACCACCGATTTGTCATTAACGATTTTTTACTCTGCATGCACAGATGAGTGGCGACAATTCGGAGATGAGGGAATTGGCGGCGAGGATCTGCCGGGACTACCTGCACGGTGCCTGGAAGCATGTCAACGCCCAAAACATTGGATTCAAGCATATCAGGTGAGAAATCGCTTCCATTGCAACGAAAACCTTGAGCCTAGAGGCCCCCTTATCAGTTTGCTTATAATTAAGTTCACTATTTATAGTGCTTGCCTTGTTGACTAATTACTTAAGGCTTATGGGTGAATGATCGTCGAGGACAATTATCATAATTTTCTATTGTTTGACGTGTTGACACGAGCCGATCTCTCTTATGCTAATCGATCGGTGCCAGGTACTTGGCGGTATTCCCCGTGCAGTTTAATTTTGTTTTCCCCACGATCACATTACCTTAGATTGTACGACCAGGCCCCGATAGCATTGAGATGGTGTGGTCGACATGGTTGCCAAATTTTATGTGGGTTTCAATTTTTCTCTTAGTAAGAACATATATACAGGGTGTACCATCAATTCTTATCTGACAGAAAAGCGTACACTTTGTGTATCGAAGAATTTTAGCTTCCAGTTTTAGGTATTTTCTTCTTCCTTCAAGTGCCAAGAGTAACAGCGCATAACGGCTGTTAGAAGAAGCATTTTGTGGCAGAAAAACGTGTGCTGTATCAATTTGTTTGTATCGTTATTAAAGCTTATTTTTGTTGTATGTTCTTTTTTCTTTCTAATGGCGCAAATTAGGTCACAATGTCCGTTGGGCTATTTGTTTGTATGTTGAGTTTGTGTATCAATCTTTATTTAATTTTGTGCGCTTTAATGGAGCATATACCAATGGCGCATATTAATTAATTAACATTAACCATTCATTGTTTTGTTAATTTTTGCCTTACTGTCTATTTTCGTATTCTGATTAGGCGTCATTTACGCCTTTATGTAAAATTGCGCAATATGAATTCGAGCGAGATGGGCGCCAAATGTGCGCCACTTTTAAGACCTTGATATTTTTGGTCTATTCGACAATTATTCTGTGTTAATTTGTAGTGCCATGAATTTTCCTTGGATTTTCAATTTGAGTTATAATTATGCGCCGTTTTAGGCGTTAATTATGCGCCATTTCGTAAATTGGAATTGTTTATATTTTTTTAATGCGCAATAACATGTTGACAATTAGCATTAAATTTCACAATCAGTCCAACTAACTTTTCTTCTTCCATTGTTTGTTTTAAGTGCGTATTATGCGCCTTTTCAAACCTCAATTGGAATGGTATAATGTTTTTCCTTGTTTGTGCAAAATGTTCATTAAATTTACCATTAGATTATGAGAACAGTAAATTTTGCAGTGCTGAATTTAAATTGCATTATAATTATGCGCTGTTTCTTCCATTAGAATTGTATTATATTTTTCTTTGTAGGAGCAAATTGACAATAGAGTAATCACTATCAGCGCAGTGGTAAATTTCTTTTTGCGTTGTAATTAAGCGCCATTTTAAGTGCTAATTATGCGCCCTTCCCTCAATCGGAATTGTATAATTTTTTTGTAGGTGCAAATGGTGGCCATTAAATTTGGGAATATCTGCGCAGCTAATTTCACGATGGTAATTTTCTTTTTGAGTTATAATTGTGCACTAATTATGCGCCCTTTCCTCCATTGGATTTGTATAATTTTTCTTTGTGTGTGTAAAATGTTGACCATTAAATTTATCAATAAAGCTAACTTCGCGGTGGTAGTTTTCTTTTTGCGTTATAATTATGCGCCCTTTCCTCAACTGGAATTGTATAATTTTTTTTCTTTGTATGTGCGAAATGTTGACAATTAAATTTGTCTATAAATTATTTCCGCATTTAACTTCGTGGTGATAAATTTATTTGTGTTGCAATTATGCGCCGTGTCCTCCATTAGGACATATATTTTTTTCGTTGTAATTATGCGCCAATTTGAATTTTTTTTATGATTTTTTGTTTTATCTGCAAAATTGACCATTGCAATTTAATTTCACAATAAATTATCAGAGGAGCTAAATTCGCTTTGGTACAGTTTTTTTCTTGTAATTAAGCGCTAATTATGCGCCAATTGGAATTTTTTAATTTGTTCTTGTATGTGCAAAATTGACCATTGCAATTTAATTTTACAATAAATTATTAGCGTATCTGGTACTTATTTGCCGTTATAATTAAGGGCTAATTATGCGCCAATTGGAATTTTTAATAATTCTTTCATGTGCAAAATTGACCATTAAATGTCACAATAAATTTTTAGCGCAGCTAACTTTGCCTTGGTACATTGTTTTGCGTTGTAATTATGCGCCATTTTAAGCGCTAGTTATGTAGCGTTTCCTCAATTGGAATTTTTCTATAATCTGCAAAATGTTCGCCATTATATTTGTCAATAAATTGTCAGCGCATCTAACTTCGCAGTGGTAAATTTATTTGCGTTTGCAATTATGCGCCGTGTCCTCTATTAGGATTTTTATATTTTTTTTCTGTTATGTGCAAAATCTTGGCTATTACAATTAAATTTCACATTAAGTGATGGCCAATTTCGCTTTACTACATTTTTTGCGTTGTAATTAAGCCCTAATTATGCGCCAATCGGAATTTTTTAATGATTTTTTTTTGCATTATTGACCATTTCAATTTAAGTTCACAATAAGTTAGCATCTTCGCTTTGGTACATTATTTTCCGTTATAATTAAGCGCTAATTATGCACCAATTGGAATTTTTCAATAATTCTTGCATGCGCAAAATTGACCATTGTAATTAAATGTCACAATAAATTATTGGCGCAGCTAACTTTGCCTTGGTAAATTTTTTTTGCGTTGAAATTATGCGCCATTTTAAGCGCTAATTATGTAGCGTTTCCTCTATTGGAATTTTTCTATAATCTGCAAAATGTTCGCCATTATATTTGTCAATAAATTGTCAGCGCAGCTAACTTCACTGTGGTACAAATTTATCCACTTGCGCAGCTAACTTCAAGCCCTAATTATGCGCCAATCGGAATTTTTTAATGATTTTTTCATTTATGTGCATAATTGACCATTGCAATTAATTTCACAAATTGAAATTAATTTCACAATAAATTAACTTCGCTTTGGTACATTTTTTTGCGTTGTAATTAAGCGCTTATTATGCGCCAGTTCTTCAATTGGATTTTTTTTATTTTCATTTATGTGCATAATTGACCATTGCAATTAATTTCACAATAAATTAACTTCGCTTTGGTACATTTTTTTGCGTTGTAATTAAGCGCTAATTATGCGCCAGTTCTTCAATTGGATTTTTTTTATTTTCTTTTATGTGCAAAATTGACCATTGCAATTAAATTTCACAATGCAGCTATATTCGCAGTGGCGCATTTCTTTTTACATTATAATTATGCGCCATTTTAATTGCTAATTATGCGCTGTTTGATTGTATTTTCTGTGTTTCTTCGTAAAATTTCACAATAAATTATCTGCGCAGCTAACTTCGCAGTGGTAATTGTCTTTTTGCGTTATAAGTAATTATTCGGGATTTAAGCGCTAACCATGCCGCTTTTCCTCCATTGGAATTGTGTAATTTTTTTCTTTGGTCTAAAATGACTAGTGAGCTAGCTAAAAAATTATCTGCGCGGATAATTTCGCGATGGTAATTTGTTTTTGCGTTATAGGATCGTGCGCTAATTATGCGCCCTTTCCTTAATTAAAATTGTATCATTATTTTCTTTGTTTGTGTAAAATGTTGACCATTAAATTTGACAATAAATCATTTGCGCAACAAAATTTGCGGTGGTTTTTTTTGCGTTATTGTTGTGCGCTTAACCCTTCTAAAATTTTAATTGTATAATTTTTCTTTGTATGTAAACTGTGCCCATTAAATTTATCAATAAAACTAACTTCGCGGGGGCATTTCTTTTTGAGATAATTGTGCGCTAATTATGCGCCTTTTCCTCAACTTTATTGAAATCGTTTAATTTTTTCTCTGTATGTGCAAAACGTTGACGATTTCATTGTCAATAATCACCGCAGCTAACTTCACAGTTGTAAATATTTATTTTGCGTTATAATTAAGCGCTAATTAGGCGTCGTTTCATCCATTTGAATTTTTCTTTCTTCTCTGTGCACACAGCAAATTTCCCTAATCGGGAACAGTAAATTATCGGATTCGGTAGCGGTATCTACGAGAAAGCAAATGCAGAAAAGCGAAACAATATCCTCCATCTATACGACGTTGTTTATACAACAATATACAGGGCGAAGTTGGATTTTTGACATTCATTCGCTACTTTTATACAGGGTGTTTTATTACTGTCATTAATAGCAAAGCATTCCGATTTCAGTGGCGGCCTATCGAACTTGCTGTACTACATTTCGCTCCCCGACACCCTGCCGGAAAATGTGAAGGAGGAGGCCGATCCCAAAGAGGTTTTAATTCGCGTCTACGGACAGACGCACGGAGAGCGCGCACTCGAGGCGCTCATCACCGAAAGTGTCATATTCACGCTGCTGTCGGAGCGCGGCCTCGGCCCGAAATTGCACGGCATCTTCCCCGGCGGTCGCATCGAACAGTACGTCAACGCTAGACCACTAAAGACCAAAGAGCTCGCCGACGAGCACCTCTCGATGACTATCTCGCAAAGAATGGCCGCCATACACAGCATGGAGGTGAGTTGTGTGTCGATCGACTGGATGATTTACTTTCTTTTATTTTGACAGTAACTGTTGCTAGCCTGCGAAATTTTATTTTTACAGATTCGACGAGGTAAGAATTTTACGCAAAAAAAGGTGTAACCTTCGAGTGATCGTTCGCGCGTTTTCGTCAACACTCGTGTCACTCGACGGTTATGGTTGTGCAAAATTTGCTTTTTTTTCTTCTTCTTTTATTTACTGATTGGCACTTTTTGCATTGTAGAACTTCGATCCAATGTATGACGTCGAGTCGCACCTTGGATTGAGTTTGGCAATTGTTATGTTGATGTGCGGGCTAGCATATCTTAATCATCTCACACATATAGGGTGTACTTTTCCATGTTTCAGCGTCTGTCTCAATTAAGTTTGTGGAACAAACACTACCGCTCGTCCTGTGGTGGATAAAAACGTATTGTTTGTTTCCCTGCGGCTTCCCCGGGGACGTAATAACCGTAGGAATTTTCTTCACTCATTATGCGCGCGGGCATGTTTTTTACGCCAATACTCCACAATCTTCAACTGACGTCATCGCGGCGTTGCCATTGTGATTATTACGTAGGAAACACGCCTCGACCTTTTCCCCAATACTAAGGGTAATATTTGAAGCGCAAGTCGTTTTTTAGGTACCGTTACATAAAACGCCCGGTTGGCTGTGGGATACGATGGAGCGTTGGCTCAAGTCCTCCGAGGAGCGTTTCTCCGGAGACGTACCCGCCGCGGTAAAACACTTAAAGGAGATGAGCTTGAGACGCGAATTTTTGTGGTTAAAGCAAAGACTCCAGATGGAGAATAGTCCCGTTGTATTTTGCCACAATGACATGCAGGAGGGAAATATTTTGATGATCGAAGATGATACGGTCACCAGCAACGCCGATGCCAAACTTGTTTTGATAGGTAAGCGATTCCGATGGTTGGAACTTAAAGCCATTAGCCACTTATCGGTTGAAGGACTGACCCAAATTAAGCAATGTAGCAAACTTCGGATTATTCACCAATAGTTGGAAGATCTCGGATGCCAATTCTGGAATATCATTTCAAGTAATGCCGGGGGAAGGGAGGGGGGTAGATTGACTTGAGGTGGGAAAAATTCTATACAACCTGACCATACTAAAGTTCTCGTTTCAAAAATATATCACACACCAGGGTGATATTCAAAAAAGAATGAAGAAAATTGAAAAAAAAAAGGTTTAAGTAATATTAAAAAATACAAAATTTTTTGTTTTTTTGATTTTTTAAAACACTGAATCTACGAATCAATATTGGATTTTTTCAAACTTTTTTGGTGTTATATTTCTGAATAGAGACTTTAATAGTCTCTCTTTTTAGATTAAATTATACATCGTGTTCTATTTAAAAAAATTAGGTTAGGTCCGATAAATCTTCTACCTGACCGCGTATACTTATTTCGAAAACGGCTGTTTGTTCAAATATAATTTTAAAGAAACTTTTATAATAAACATTTTTATGTATCTCCAACTAAGAAAAATATGGTATAAGTTGTCAAAAATAGCACCCTGTACAAAACTCCTTTTCTTTTTCTCTGCTTTGGAGCAATAGTCTTGTCTTGTATCAGAATAATTCAAAAAGATTTAAAAAAATACAAATAATTTCAGATTTTTGAATTTTTTGTGCTTTTTTTAAACCTTTTTTGGATCGTTTCAAACCAATATTGAGTTTTTGTAATGTAATGTGCTATAATTTTAGATTCAAATATACAGTGTGTACCGTTTAAAAAATTAGGTATATTTATTTTGAAAATAGCAGCTTATTCAACAATAATTTTAGAGAAAGTTTTGTAATAAACATTTTTAACTAAGAAACTATAGGGTCATTTTAAAATTTACAATTTTTTTCATATTTTCCTGTATCTCTTAATCGAGAGAATATTTTCAAATTTTCATTTTACCAGTTTAATTTTGTCCCAAAAAGAGCACGTATTATTACCTACTTTTTTGATAGCACTAGCAATTAGGTCGCTATAATGTAGGTGTCAAAAATGGGACACCCTGTACAAAGTTCATTGATTACTATCGATCGACTTAACTCTTGCTTGCAATTTGCTTTGCACCTTTTGAGTGTTCTTGCAATAATTTTGTTTCACAAGTTAAAAATTGGCTCCTTTTGCTGTGACTTCCACCCAGATAAAGAAGTTATCGGACCTAACCTAATTTTTTTAATGGCACACCCTGTATATTTTAATCTAAAAATCATATTATATTCTCTATTCAAAAATATAAACAGCAGAGATATGTATTCAAAAAAGGTTCAAGTGACCCAAAAAATTTCACAAAGGTTTTAAAAAAAAAATTTTAAAAAAGGTTCATATGATCCAAATAAATACAAAAAAAACACATTAGGATGATAGCATATTAAATTATCTTCAAATTTCAATTTTTTTAAATTTTTTCAAACCTTGCGAGTTTATGAATCAATATTGAAGCTTTAATTTTTTTTACTTTTTGGAATCTATGAATCGGTATTGAACTAACTACCCTCATCTGTAATTTCAAAAACATGACGCACTAGGTATGATAAAAAAACATTCGAGTGAGTCAAAAACATTCAAAAAGGTTAAAAAAAATTAAAAAAGGTTCATAGGATTCGAAAATATACAAAAATATTCAAAAAGATTTTTGAATAGAACTATTTTAAAATATTTTTTGAATCAGTATTGATTTTTTTAATGTTATATTTTTGAAAAGAGAATTTAATAGGATTTTTTGAAACCCATGAACCTTTTTTTTATATCATTCCTGGTGTTATGTTTTTGAAATTACAAAAATGACGTTAGATCCGCAAAAGGACCCAATTTTTAACTTCTAAGACAAGATAGCAAATCAGGGAACCTTGTACAGGGTGTTCCATTTTTGACACTCTGTATCTCCGTAATAATTGTTAGTGCTACCAAAAGAAAAATCATCCCTATATTTTTGTTTTGTTTTTTTAAAAAATTTGTGTATAATGATTGCTAAATAATCTGTCACTTTCGGAATAAGTAAGTATACGGGGTCAGGTCTGTACCTAACCTCATTTTTTTATGGAACAACCCTGTAGAGTTTGATCTACAAAAATAGCGTATTACATGCTCTTTTCAAAAATGTAATATTCACTCATAGGTTCAAAAGGGTTTTTTAAAGATTAAAAAAACTCAAATTTTTGTGTACCTTTTGAATTATTTGAACAATTTTTTAATTCCTAGTGTGTTTTATTTTTGAAAATCCTATCCATATCCTATCTTTTTTTACTATAATAATAATAATTTAATCGTAAAAATAACCATCATCAACACGTCACAGGTATAAATTTAGCAAACAATATAATAAATAGGACAAACAAATGTATACTAATTAGAAAATATACAGGGTCTTCCATTTGTGTAATATCCTAGGTATCAAAAATGGGACACCCTGTACAAAAATCCAGATGGTTTTTTAGTTGTATTTTATTTTGGAGAAACAATCTTTTCTCAGAAGTTAAAAATTGTGCCCTGTGGCTGCCTAGGTAAACAAGATATCGGACCTAACCTCATATTTGTACATGGAACGTCCTGTATATTTTAATCTAAAATGATGGCATATAAAATTCTTTTCATAAATATAATATACCTATCAGAGATGATATTCAAAAAAGATTTTTAAAAAATGTTCAAAAAAATACAAAAATTTCACAAAGATTTTTGAATTTTTGGGTCGTTTTGAATCAATATTGAATTACATTTTTTTTTAAATCAAATTTTTTATTTTACCACCATTTCAAGTTGCTGCTATTTTTACCCAATTTTGCTTATACTTGTTTTGGGGTCGGTAATGGCTTTAATCACAACACGCACTACACCGGCCCACTTAAAAAACAATGACATTTGTTGCAGATTTTGAGTACTGCTCATACAATTATCGCGCATTTGACATTGCCAACCACTTTCTGGAATGGACTTACGATTACACCGAGAAGCAACAGCCATATTTCAAGGTGACCCCCGAGAATTATCCGTCGAACCTTCAAAGAATAAAGTACATCTGCCACTACCTGAAGGAGACCGGCTCCGCCGAAAATCCGCTCGACGTACTGCGTGAGGTCGAGATATTTTCGCTCGCCTCGCACTTCTTCTGGGCGCTCTGGTCGATCGTGAACACGAAAAGTTCGCAGATAACGTTCGGCTACTGGGAGTACGCGGTCGAGAGACTGAACGCGTACAACGAGCTAAAGACCAGGCTGCACAAGCAGGGTATAAAAAGAAAGGCGGACGGACCTTACTAAAAATCCCCACACGCGACGTGCCCTTCCTATTTCGAATATTTTACTTGTTTGAATAGCGGAAAGACTGCAAACCACCGTGTGATACACATCCAGTAGGGATAGATTTTGTAATTCGACGAAAACATTTTTAAAACACTTTTGGGCCAATTCAGAACACGGCGGACGACGTCGGTGATGATTTTCTAAGAACGAATTTTTTAGAGCGGCTGTTGCGGATGATGCATTTTTACTATATCAGACTTATTAAAAAAACAGTATTCTATATTAAAAAACATGATTGTGACGTAGTTGTAGATTTACCAGATATATGTATGTACTTCGATTTTTTTATTAAAAACGCGCGGTACTTAGTTTTAAGACTGATTTTGCCTTACCAATGTCCTTGCATTTCTTTTTTCCTATTAGTTAAGCTGTCTATATTTTTAAGTGTTGTTTTTTTATCTTGCTGTTTTTGGTTTTAGTTGGATCATGTAAATACCTAATGTAAAATAAAAATTGTGAAAAATAGACGAATTTATTTGTAATCCCTAGCAGTCTGTTCCAATGTCCCATTTCTCGCGTGAGATTTCAAGGTGAAGGTGTTTCCCTTACAGTCATTACAGGCATAGGTATCGAGATTGTACCAAATTGTTGAAAAATCAATATGGTGCAATCAGACCCCAGAAATTATTTTAATGCTTTGCTTTTAGGATCGACACGTACGGAGAAGGACGCAACCATGAAAACCTAGTATGTTTTGTAGCCGACTTATTACCACATCTACAGCGAGCGCCACATAGGTAGCTTTAGTATTTTGAAAGTACAAATAAAACATTTTATAAATGTCGTTTTATTTTAACTGTTAACTCCCTACAAGCTCCCCCCAAGCAAACAGGCCATATATATATATATATATATATATATATATATATATAAGACCTGCAGAAGCACCTCTAAATAGCATTATGCGGGTCACTCTGTAATTGGGCGCATGCCTGTTGAGGGCCCAAAACGAGAGGAATAATAATAATTATATATATATATATATGTTTCCCTTATTAAATATAGGATTTTTCCCTAGTGTGCGCCCACATATGCAATCAATTGGAGAAAATACGTGTGTAGGCAACCATACAGAGACTGCTGCATTGTGGGTAGAATACCCATTACATAGTAAAAAAGTTCTGTAGTTATTTGTAACAGGTTGTCCATGTGATCCTTTACCACAGATTTAAATATAGATTTAAGTTTGTGCCTTTACTGACAAGGTGAACATTATTATTTGGACGTACAGGATAAATTCCTTAAAATAAATCATTTTAATTGTTTTTTTCGTAACAAACATTTGTCAGAAAAGACAAGAACATATAAAATATATTACGCCCACAACTAGGCGGGGAAACCTTCAGGACAAAAACACTTGCATAGTCCACTCAGATACCCGAACTAAATTAGCAAAGACAACAAAAGAAAATTCACAAACAATAAAAATCATCCGGTTCCGCACTATTTAGGTAGAATTATTTTTTAAGGATTCCGGTTCTGTAGCGTCAGTAATTTTCGGTTCCGGTTCCAGTTTTTTCGGTTTTTAAGAGTTTCGACATGAATAAATACAATTATTGTCATTATTATCAAAAAAACAAATTATTAATTATAAAAAATAAATAATAAATACACAAAATTGAAGTAGTTACATTATTCTCTCGATTATTCTTTTACGTATTTTTTAGGTTTAATTGAAACTTATTTTTTGCTTACACGTTCGTGAGCTGCCTGTCTCTTTCTACTTTCCTTTTGTTCAGCAGTAGTTTCTTCATACACTCTTTCAGTCCTCTTACTGTTTTTGATTCATTTTCGGTATTATAATCTCTACTACTCTACCCTAATATTTTATATTTGTTTAGTATTACGGTTAAGTTGGTCGTTTCGTTTGCTGTAGCGCATTAGGAGAAAAATACGTTACGTACTCTGTCAAATCCATGACAATAAAAGCAACTCAGATGACTCCGTGACTTTTCAGACGTTAGAATACTTTTACTTTTAATAACTTTAAATAACTTCTTCTCAACAACGTTATTATAATTACGTCTCCAACTAAACAAATAGGGTCAACTGCGTAATAAAAATCACGCACTCCAGCCGTCACCAAATAAAAAAATTCCGTTTAAACCAGTGTCTCCCGTATTTAAAGGATCCACTACTTCCACCATAAAATCTTCTTTATCAATTTACACATAAACCACCAATTCGACAAGAACGCCTTCCCACTTACGCCGAAAAAAACGCGCACATCTTATTACTGCATCTTCTTATCAGAACAGCATGTGCATTCCTTAAAATTTCGACCAAAAATAAAACTTATCGCAAAGGACCAGATAAGCTTTTTTATAAATCACGAAAACTCGACCAGATGTATCTTACTCCTAGCATATTTTATTTCAATTGAACAATTTACAAAAGCGATAAAATGTAAACGAAAATTACGCATCTACACAAACTTCTAGAAGGAAAAACAAAAAATTAAATACAAATTCGAAGGAAACGATCACACTTTGTGTTTATTTATAAAAACCCACCAGTTACTCTAAAAAATTGAAATATTTCACATACACATTGAAGGTGCTGAAACCAAAATATAACGTCCGCGTAACGTACAGTGTACTTCGCCCCCGCCATGCCGGTTGAAAAATTCTCTTCATCTCATCGAGCTTTTTTTACTTCACGTTTGCGTCTTTTAATGCCAACATCCCTTTAACAAACTTCGCCCGCATCAACCTCCTTCGCGTCTTTTTTCACATCTTCTATTACTACAGGTTTCCCTCAACTCTTGTTTGCGATTCAATTCCTTTTCTTCACCGCCAACCCCTTTTCTTGTTCTTCGTGCCTCCTTCACACTCTTCTGGAACGTTTTCTACGCCACCTTTCTATCTGCTCCTCTTCACGTTTGCTTTGTGTCTTTTTTATGTTTTGTTCCTTCACTCATTTTTCCTTAAAAGCCATCTTCACAACGTCGTCAAAGTATGCTCACCTTGCGCTCCCTTCCCCCCTTTTCAAATTCAAGAGCCCTCCTCCCCATTTTCGTACTTCATTCATACCTTCTTACGCTTCCTTCACGTGCCCTCCACACACTTCCGCAAGTCATTCCTACGCATTCTTCATTTTTCACCACACCTCCACTTTTAACTGTGTCGCAGCTCACTCGCCTTTGCTCCCACCCCTTCATTTTTTTCACATCTCTCTTCACGATTTTTAAATTCTTCTTTCCATAGAGTAAATAATCTCTATGCTCTTTCGCCCCTTCTTCAGATCTCTCTCACGCTTCTTTTAAACATTCTTTGTTCTCCTCCCCCCTTTGACATGTTTCACATCTCGCTCGTGCCGTTTTCGTACCTCCTTTACCCTTTCTTCGAGCATTATTCACTTGCGCCTCGCCCTTATTTATCTTTTCCTCTTGCTCCTCGCGCATCATTTATTCTCCTATTCACATCCTCAACTGTTTTACACCTCCTTCACAATCCTGCTTAACGCTTTACTTACATTAACTTCACGGTCCTTTTTCGCTGTTAATTTAGCTTTATTTCACTCCCCTTCTTCTACAACTACCCACTTTAGATGCCCCTTATGCTTTATTTACGAGTCAGGCATTTTTCACTTCCTCCCGCACTCCTTACACTTCCATCACGTGTTGTTCAGGTCTCATTCCTTTTTTTTTTCTCGACTCCTTCAGGTTTATTCAACCGTTTCTCATTCTGCGGTAACGTATCCCTACGGTTAGGCAACACATCTTACATCTGGGGAAAATTCCGAAACGTTCTATGATCAGTCTTCGACCTCAATTTGTTATTTACACTTTGCATAAAATGCTGAATATTTGTTTACTGAAGTATGGCGTGCTCGAGTTGTATGTACCTACCGTTATCTGAATCATGTTTGTTTGTTACACTGTACAGGTGATTATGCCTTTGTATGGTTTTATTAAGTATTTATTTATGTATTCACTTGTAAGTATATATTTTTGACTAACCCTTTACTCCATGGGGGAAGTACCTCATACAATTCTAATTGTTCGCCGTATAATGTTGCTTCTTCGTCTCGTGCGGACTGCCTGTGTCTTAGCAATACAAGATAAGGGGGTCCTCTAATAAACTTTTCTTCTGTTTAGTATGTGAGGTTTAGAGATGAGATAATCGACTTTAACATGAATACTGTTGGTATTTTCACTTGTACTTTTCGTGTTAAATTAATGGTAGACGATGCCTGGAGTATAGTCGTGCCATTTTGATGTGTTTTTTATGTACATGTAATTTATCATTTTTCGGGTTGTTTTGTTGTGCCTAAATTTAACCGTAGATGTGACTTTGGATTTAGGTATGATGTTTTCAGCTGTGTTCCATCTCCCTCGTATCATCACATGCCATGCAAGCTTCATTTAACCCCCCCCCTTTCATTTACTTCATATCTCTTTTGCGTTTCTTCGCGAATATGTCTCTTGCGCCTTTTTAACATACTCTTTACATCTCCTTTACGCATTTAGGTTTCTTTTGCGCCTCCTGCACATTCTTTTCTACCTTACTCGTGCCTTCAGAACTCGCTTGACAGGTGTTGGGGAAGGATTATTGCGAACCTCTTCCCCATACTGTAGAGAACTTAGCATCTGGGGGTACGGAAAAGCAAAGAAAAAAGTCGATGACCATCAAATAAGTACATACTCAATAACTGTACACCTGTAAACCTTAATACCTTTTTGGCGATATTCTGGAAATAGCAATGGAACTGTCGGGTATGGAATACCCCCCCCCCCCCCCGCAAACCTCTGCATACCCACTTTACTAATTCTATCAAATTGGCAACTGGCATATTTGCTAGGCATGGTATGCACCCAGTTGGTGAACCTACCCATCATATCGCCGATGATAGGCTTTGTCCAATTGATGGCATTGAGCTTTTTTTATGTTGGTTGCCTATCTATTGCAGTCGGTAACCGTTCACTTAGAAAATTTTATCAATCAAACAGTGGCTATTTTAGATTGCCAACGATTTATTTATAGCCGATGCGAATTATTTGTGGCAATCACACTTTGCAACGATATTTCGGTCTAAAGATCATCAACCATCTGTTTACTACCTCGATAACCTCTCAAAGTTTCCCCACATCGTCGATTAAAAGGCGAAAAAATTAGAATAATTTAATAAAAATATTTACATCGAATAAATTAAAAATCTTATGGCATACTGCTGAGATCATAACACCTCAATTATTTTGTACTTGTAATTACGAGCTAGTCATCCGTTGACACCTGCGTGCTCGCGCTTGAAAACGAGCCCCTTGCGCTCTCCGTCTGGTAGCAGCTCGGAGGTACGGTGATGAAATTGCATTTCTTGTAGTTGGGCCACTTTTTTCCGCTGCACACTCGCTTCAGAATACTTTTTTCAGACTTGTCGTTCTCGACCTTACAGGTAATAATTACTTCGGGAATCGTATTGGCGAGGAACGGCTGTATCGTGGGCGCCTCGACTAGTTTGCAATCGTCCGACGTTCGACGGCGCGGCGTCTCGATCGGTATGTTCGCGATCTTTTTGGCGCGCACGAGCCCGAGCAGTTTGAGAAGCTCGCGCCGTATCCTTCGGTTGCGGTAGGCGAAAAGGAACGGGGACACGACGTTGGAGAGCATCAGCAGGACGACCGCCGCGTAGTTGTATGACTGAGGCGTGGTGATGTTGATGATGTAACTGTTAAGTACGACGGCCAATCCGTACGGTATGTAACAGACGAGGACCATGAATATGACTAAGATGCTGATCTTCGCCGCTCTCGTTTCCTCCCGGTAGCGAAAGACCGAGGCGTTCGAGAGGCGGTGCTTGAGGTGACTTATGAAGCCGACGCGCTCGCTAACGCTCCTCTTGACGTTATTCGGATTGTCGACCAAATTCGAGATGATGGGCGCCGATCGCACCCGTTGCAAGCTGGGCGAGTCCTGCGCGAGATCCAGCCGACTTTCGCTGGGCGCCTTTACCGGGGGGCCCTTGGTGGACTGGCGCATGCGCTCGCTGCTGTTGTGCGCCGCCGAGTAGATGCAGACGTAGATCGCGCATATCGCGAGGAACGGTGCGAGGACGACGGCCAAGAAGTAGACCACCGCGTAGACGGAATTGAGCAACTTGATGTAGTCCTCGTCCGTGCTCCGGCGCGAGCAGAACTGCCACAAGTTCGAGGCGTTCTGGCTCAAACCGCTTAGAATCGCGAAGAAGATGGCGACGAACCAGGCCGACATTATCAGAACGGTCGAGCGCACTTTGTCAATGTAAGAGTGGTAGCGTAAGGAGTGGATGACCGCGAAGTATTGGTCGACCCCGATCAGAAGCACGCTGAGGATTGAGGCCGTGCAGACGAACCCTACGGTGCTCTGCGCCACGTAGCACAAAGTGTTATTGGGGGCGCCAACAATGTCCATCTCCAGCTTCTCGTTGATCACCAGTCGAGACTCATCGACTGCCTCCTCAATGATCTCCTTGACGAGGACGGCCGGCTCCTGGAGCGAGGTCTGGTCGACGATTAGGAGAGGAATGAGCAGCACGCTCGAGAGCAAGTTGGTGATGAGAAGATTAATCGTGAATCTGCAAAGAGCGGCGTTTAACTTCAACTAAGCTCGAAGCGTCATTCATTTACCTGTTGGACACAGTGCGAAGTCCGCGTCTTCTGCAAAAAACCAGCAGTAGCAAAAAGTTGGCGACGAGCGCGATCACCGACGAAGTCACCAAGGCCGCCGTCACCACCCAGTGCTGACTCTGAAGATCCATTCGCAATCTACGAAAATAAATCACATCAACAATCGATTCGGATTTAAACGCGGATGCTTCGCCCACCGCATGATTAATGCTTATAGACGCAATGACATCAGTTTAAATCGACGTTTTTGGATTATTGAAATCAGGCAAAGTACTTCACGCTCGAAATGAACGAATATCTATTAATTAACTACGCGCGTTACCGACGAATGTTAATGAGAGGTTGCGGTTGATCGAAAATCAATGCAATTAATTTTTTTAGTTTATTAGGCTTAATTTGTCATTGGGAAAATAACGCATCGATTACGCGACAATGACCCGTAATTTTCCAAACTAGTTTCGCTAGCTTTCCGACCACTTTTCGAACAAAGGAAAAAAAAAAGAAAAAAAAATGTATTATCAGGTTATGGGCCCGACCAATTAAAATGTTAATTTTCCGTACTGGGCGACGATTGTTCAAAAATTGCGTCAGAATTTCAAGGCTGGATAAATCGGTCGCAATCACCGACTGACCTAATTTCTACACATCTCCTAGCCGTGACCTTCCATGGGAAACATTATCCAGTGTCTATTTTTCGGAAAATCAACCCCATCAATTGATCATGACCTTGTCAAATGTTCGTATCAGAACCAAAAATGAGTTAGTCACACTCTTTCAATTTTTGAAGGTTCGCGGGTAAGTCGTACGGGTTTATAATTCGGCTCGAGTGAATTACTCGAGAGAAATGTCAGGGAAAACTTAAAAACGGGTGAAAAGTCAAGATGGCGCGCTCATTTTTTGTTTTTATCAAGATTTTCAACCCTGTGAAAAATGCATCACGTCACGTTGGCTAAAGTCGTGGATTATTGAAAAGACCGCGTGCAAGTCGTGTGAATTTAAAATTCCGCTTTTAAGTGAATTATTTGAGAGAAAAACGGTGGGAAATTCAAGATGGCGCACTTATTTTTTGTTTTTATCGAGATTTTCAACGCCTTGATCAATGCATGACGTTGGTTAAGGTCGTGGATTATAAAAACGAACGCGTGCAAGTCGCGTGAATTTAAAATTCCGCTTTTAAGTGAATTATTTGAGAGAAAAACGGTGGGAAATTCAAGATGGCGCACTTATTTTTTGTTTTTATCGAGATTTTCAACGCCTTGATCAATGCATGACGTTGGTTGGGGGTCGTGGATTATTAAAACGACCGCGTGCAAGTCGCGTGATTTTAAAATTCCGCTTTTAAGTGAATTATTTGAGAGAAAAACGGGGGAAATTCAAAATGGCGCACTCATTTTTTTTGTTTTATCATGATTTTTAACCGCAGGATTAATGCATCACATTGGCTAAAGTCGTGGATTTTAAAAAGGGCCGCGTGCAAGTCGTGTGAATTTAAAATTCCGCTTTTAAGTCAATTATTTGAGAGAAAAACGGGGGAAATTCAAAATGGCGCACTCATTTTTTTTGTTTTATCATGATTTTTAACCGCAGGATTAATGCATCACGTTGGCTAAAGTCGTGGGTTTTTCAATGGCCGCGTGCAAGTCGAGTGAATTTAAAATTCCGCTTTTAAGTGAATTATTTGAGAGAAAAACGGGGGGAAATTCAAGATGGCGCACTTATTTTTGGTTTTTATCGAGATTTTCAACGCCTTGATCAATGCATGACGTTGGTTAGGGTCGTGGATTATTAAAACGACCGCGTGCAAGTTGCGTGAATTTAAAATTCCGCTTTTAAGTGAATTATTTGAGAGAAAAACGGGGGGAAATTCAAGATGGCGCACTTATTTTTTGTTTTTATCGAGATTTTCAACGCCTTGATCAATGCATGTCGTTGGTTGGGGTCGTGGATTATTAAAACGACCGCGTGCAAGTCGCGTGAATTTAAAATTCCGCTTTTAAATGAATTATTTGAGAGAAAAACGGGGGGAAATTCAAGATGGCGCACTCATTTTTGTTTTTATCATGATTTTCATACACGACGTTGGCTAAGTTCGTAGGTTTTTAAAACGACCGTATTAAAGTCGTGTGAATTGAAAAACTGATACTGGGTGTTTTTTTTATTTTTAATTTTGGTCATGTTGTTCAGAATGTGACGTGTTTGAAATGTTGTGTTGATGTTTTTCATTGAGATAAGTTGTTTTTCTGATATATCATTATCTCTTTCTGAGTTTTGGATCGTTATGATACGTAGGTTGGTTACAGTTACACGGAATGAATGTAAATTAGTTCCGAAATTCTCTATTCAATGATAATTCGCTAGCATTGCGTAAGAAAATTTCTTTTCTGTCACCATTGGTGATCCATGAGAAAGCTTTCGCACGGTGGTACCATTTTTGCGAAAATTTCCAAATACATTCTCAAAAAAAATTGTTTACCATGGAGATCGCGATATTTGTACAATTTTCTAGTGCATGAGCGATTTGTCGGAAGTTACTCATAAATGCTTAATGAGCATGACCCATTGTTTTGCATTGTTTTAGCAGCGATAGATACCTAGAAGTGAAGGTCCGAAGGTAACAGCATATAAATATTGATACTTAGATTACTCAACTGGTAACACACGCATCAAAAGTCACTGTTTACATTAAAACTTTTCGTATTTGCGATAAGCCCCAGCTTTATCAATTGCTTCGTTACGCAAATCGCGCGATTTTGAAATGAAATCTAATGAATGACGCCTACCGTCGATTTACGATGGGGAACGTTGAAAGGGGCCTTCTCGGCAAAGATGCACTTTGGCAGATTTTCAAAACTGAACACTTTAACTGGCAATAAATTGGTACACAAACGCTAGCACGTGTAAAATGGGTCGATTTTAATTTAGACTTTCTCTAATTGCACAACGAAATCGCTGTTGGTAATACCCTCCGTTTGATTCGATGTGGGAAATTCCTTTCGTTCACAATGTATAATCTATTTCTATACCGAGAAGTTGGAGGGACTCCAAGAACGAATATATGAGAGCTTGTTCCTCTGTACTATGATAAATGGCGTTAGCGTATTTTTGTAATAAACAAACACCACTTTCGCTCTTATTTTTGAAGTGCTGTTAAAAGATAGCACGGTTTTATATATATGTAGACTAGAAACCAATTTCGAAAAAAATTCAAAGGGCTGTAACTTTTGAACTAGTATCTTGGAACTGTTTGAAATTATGGATTCTACAGGCCACATTCTATAAGACAATTTTTTTCCGGGTCGATCTGAGACAATTTTTTCTTCGGGGCTCAAAAAAGGCAGTGTATAACCTTCCTTTTTTACCAAAAATCGACTACACCAAAATTTCTCGGGAAAACACTTTTTCTTATTAATTTGGGTGCGTAGAATCCAAATCAATTCGTACTTTTTCCATCAGACTTCTTAATCAAAAGTTATAGACCAGAAACTAATTTCGAAAAAAAATTCAAAGGGCTGTAACTTTTGAACTACTAGCCCAATCTTGGAACTGTTTGAAATTATGGATTCTACAGGCCACATTCTATAAGAAAATTTTTTTCCGGGTCGATCTGAGACAATTTTTTTTGCGGGCCTCAAAAAAGGCAGTGTATAACCTTCCTTTTTTACCAAAAATCGACTACACCAAAATTTCTCGGGAAAACACTTTTTTTATTAATTTGGGTGCGTAGAATCCAAATCAATTCGTACTTTTTCGATCAGACTTCTCAATCAAAAGTTATAGACTAGAACCCAATTTCGAAAAAAAATTCAAAGGGCTGTAACTTTTGAACTAGTAGCCCAATCTTGGAACTGTTTGAAATTATGGATTCTACAGGCCACATTCTATAAGAAATTTTTTTTCCGGGTCGATCTGAGACAATTTTTTTTGTCAAAAAAGGCAGGTTATAACCTTCCTTTTTTACCAAAAATCGACTACACCAAAATTTCTCGGGAAAACACTTTTTCTTATTAATTTTGGTGCGTAGAATCCAAAACAATTCGTACTTTTTCGATCAGACTTCTCAATCAAAAGTTATAGACTAGAAACCAATTTCGAAAAAAAATTCAAAGGGCTGTAACTTTTGAACTAGTAGCCCAATCTTGGAACTGTTTGAAATTATGGATTCTACAGGCCACATTCTATAAGAAAATTTTTTTCCGGGTCGATCTGAGACAATTTTTTTTTCGGGGCTCAAAAAAAGGCAGTGTATAACCTTCCTTTTTTACCAAAAATCGACTACACCAAAATTTCTCGGGAAAACACTTTTTCTTATTAATTTGGGTGCGTAGAATCCAAATCAATTCGTACTTTTTCGATCAGACTTCTCAATCAAAAGTTATAGACTAGAAACCAATTTCGAAAAAAAATTCAAAGGGCTGTAACTTTTGAACTAGTAGCCCAATCTTGGAACTGTTTGAAATTATGGATTCTACAGGCTACATTCTATAAGAAAATTTTTTTCCGGGTCGATCTGAGGCAATTTTTTCTTCGGGGCTCAAAAAAAGGCAGTGTATAACCTTCCTTTTTTACCAAAAATCGACTACACCAAAATTTCTCGGGAAAACACTTTTTCTTATTAATTTTGGTGCGTAGAATCCAAAACAATTCGTACTTTTTCGATCAGACTTCTCAAAAGTTATAGACTAGAAACCAATTTCGAAAAAAAAATTCAAAGGGCTGTAACTTTTGAACTAGTAGCCCAATCTTGGAACTGTTTGAAATTATGGATTCTACAGGCCACATTCTATAAGAAAATTTTTTTTCCGGGTCGAAATTTTTTTTTCGGGGCTCAAAAAAAGGCAGTGTATAACCTTCCTTTTTTACCAAAAATCGACTACACCAAAATTTCTCGGGAAAACACTTTTTCTTATTAATTTTGGTGCGTAGAATCCAAAACAATTCGTACTTTTTCGATCAGACTTCTCAATCAAAAGTTATAGACTAGAAACCAATTTCGAAAAAAATTCAAAGGGCTGTAACTTTTGAACTAGTAGCCCAATCTTGGAACTGTTTGAAATTATGGATTCTACAGGCCACATTCTATAAGAAAATTTTTTTTCCGGGTTGATCTGAGACAATTTTTTTTTCGGGGCTCAAAAAAAGGCAGTGTATAACCTTCCTTTTTTACCAAAAATTGACTACACCAAAATTTCTCGGGAAAACACTTTTTCTTATTAATTTGGGTATAGATTTATATATAGACATCCAACAAGGGGACGATGTGGCACCTTAGAGAAAGTCACAGTAATGGCTCCCATCAGTTAATAAACACTCTAAAAGAGCTGTGATGAATGTGTATTAGGAGAACATGCTTTTTTTTTATCTCAGGTGGGTTTTTTGATTCTCGTCTCTTGGTAAATTCCAAATGCTCCTGTTTTTGTATTAGGACAGCATGAAATATTTGTTTCATTGTTGAACCATACCTTTTATTATTCATGCCTTACGAAGAAGAACGTTATTTTTAATCAGGAGAACATGATGCGAAAGGGTTGTTCTAGCATGCATCTTTTTCACAGTCATATTTCTGATAATATTTGTATTGGGAGAGTTATTTTTAATGCATCATGGTTAGTGTTGGATGCCTTTTAGCCGCAACGATGTACCTGCAAGTGAGCAATGCAGGAAATGAGAAGAAGGGATCGAAACATACAACAGATGGAAAAGATCATATGAAGAGAACATTTCTTTTTATTGTGTTTGACCGAAAGACGCTTGACACATTGTCAAAAACACCCCCGAGACTAATAACTATCTCTAAGACCATCCCTTGCCTAAGTAATATTCCCAACCCCACAGGATTCTGGGGTTACGTTCGATGGTCCCTCTCTAGAAATTATAAAGTAAATCCTTTTGGGGAAAAATGCACAACCGGGGGGTCTGGGGGGTGTGGAATACCCCCCCAGCACTACTCCCCAGCGATCGAAACTTACCGTGCACTTGAAAATGCACCCTCTAAGTTAATTGGTCAATTTCGATCAGGAGCACAGCGCCACGGGCTTGAAAATGTACCAGCCAATACCAGCTTGAGCTGTAACCTCCGAGATTGATTCTTCCAATTGGATTTTGTTCTCCTGACAAGTGACAAATGCTTCTAATGAATTTTTTGTATTAGGAGAGTATACAGCGTAGCATTGCTAAGATTAAGCTCGATTATTCTTGTTCTCCTGATGGTTTCGATGAATATGCTAGAACATAAGAGCCGTTTCATTCGTATTCACCTAATAAAACCTAACGTTTTTAAGTAATGAATTTTATATTAGGAGAGCATAAAAATATCATTAATTTTTTACAGTTAGAAGAACTGTACCGGTTCTGAACAAAACAATCCTGAATATACGGTTCGTTCGGACTATGTTTCGGGACTAGGTAATCGCATTCCCGTTTTTCAAATCACCTCCTTGATTGACGATTTGTTATGCGACGCTCTGCCAATAAAAACAATCGGACGCATCGCCTTGTTGGCATAACGTAGGTATGCAAAACAAGATTTATGGGTTATCGTCGTTTTCGAAAATTGCACTCACGCGAAAAAAATCGCTCGTTATTATACAAAAACCTGTTATGCATAACTGTTATTAATAACAGTTTTGCAAAACGCTCAATCGTTATGGAAATTAGGTGAATCGTTTACCTTTGTGTAATTTTCTTTCCCATTTCAATTTGCCTCCGCGAACAATCGTGTATGGGTAATTACTACCCGAACAAAAAAAAAAGGATTAATTTACATAATACCATTAGAACAATAGCTCATTTGCATAATTACAAAGAAAGTTTTCTCGTGCCATTCGATATTAACGAGACACATTGACGGAACGTCGGCCTGATTGCGAACCAGAAATAAAACCGCCTAAAAATATCCCCTCGTCCTGCAAGGGGACTTCCCCTCAATCGCCTAGGAAGCGCGGAATTACCAGGTCTTTATTTAAATCTGACCTCTTTTGTCTGGTAGATAATCGAGTACATAATTATACACCTAGTGACATTCATTAGCGTCGATTGTGAAGCTGCAATCGTCGGGGATGGCCGCACGTGGCAGGAATCGACGGCGGGTGGCGTCGGAGGATTTTACCTACGCTCCGAATGAAAAAAAGATCTCACGCGCTCGTTAGCTGAAAGTCGGAAAGTCCCAGTAATTTTGGTACACAGTTATCAAATCTAATAATCTAAAAACTTGCGGGTGTTTTTGTGAGTCCAAACGGCATTCGGCAATCGTGACCAGCGTTTTTCGGCCAAGCGCAATAAAAACTTCGCTTCGTATCTGTTCCATTCCCCTTTCACACTTTTTTCCTCTCTTCCTTTCCGTAACTGATTTTACAGGTGCATTGTTGAGGCCAAACGGCATTCGGGAAAAACCATGATTTCCTTACGTGATATAAACAGAAGCAACTCCTTCGTTGCGATACACAAATGCATCAAACACATCTGGTATTTATCAGGAAAACATGAGTTAAGAAGCATGAATCGAGTGAATGGCAAACAGTATTTTATGATTTCTTAGTACGATCTCATACTTCGACAGTCAAAAAGATTCATGCACACTATAAAAAAGGAGATATCGTTCAACAGTTAAACAAATACTTCATGCCGTCCTAATACAAACAGTTTTCAGGACCATTAGGCATTTACCAAGAGACAAGAATCATAGGACCCACCTGGGAGACAAAATGCACATTATTAATTTACATTCATCAAAGCACGTAAGGTAACAGACAAACAGATTTCGCACTTTCTGTTCTCCTAATCCAAATGTTCAATGCAATAAGAGATCACTTGTCATGCCTCGACTAAAGGTCGGATAACTTATGTTCTATTATTCGCGATTGGCTGTGAACCTTTTTTGAGTGTTTTGTAATCGTCCCTTTTGGTTTTGTTGGGATGTCTACATCTTAGGTGTCAAGTTTTTTTAAAAGATTCCTGAATGTAGTCTCAATTCTTGAATTGTTTTGGTTTTTACTTCACATCTTCATGAGACCTTTTTTTTTAAATTGTTTATCCGAAAAGTTTTCTGTATGTTTTCCCAAATTGTTTTTGGAGGATTTTGGATACTTGCAGAATTTTTGAATTGTCCTTGTCCGTTTGGAGATTTTCGCGCTAGATTTTTGGAGTT